TTTTATTGCCTGGATATTTTTATTTCAATGACGATGAGTAAGTTTACAAAGCTTTCGTGAACTTGTCTGGTCCAATTTTATTCCATGGAGCAAGACACTTATAAAAAACCATGGTCTCAGATTGAAAAACCAGAAAACACATCAGAGTCCTTGCACTTCAGAGACGATTGTTTTAGCTTCTTTACTTCCTGTACTCTTCACCTTGTTTTATTCATGTTCTTGCCTGGCGCACACTGGGGACATGTATTCCAATGTGGATATCTTCAAATATCTTCACAAGTTTGTCTTGAATAAAACTTGTGTTTGGCCGAGAACAGTTTTTATGTCCTTTTATCGAGCCCATTTAAAAATATAACTATTATAAACCTTCCCCACGGATGTGTTTGTTGCCCATGGTTTGTTGACATAGCATTAGCCGGAAGTACTGCTAGCGGTTCGCGATTTCCATGGGGCTATTTTGGGAAAGGTATCCAGAAGTAGAGATAGCAAGAGCTCTGGTGTATGTAGACTTCTCTGTCTGGTCACACAGGGGGGGGGGGGGGGGGGGGGGTCTTGCACAGTTTTCCAATGTGGTTTTACTGCAAATGGCAAATAAATGATCTGATCTGATCTGAATCTTATCTCGAGATACCACATTTTTGTTATTCTACTATGTCCTTCAGGGGCTCAGTAATAAAACTAAAGATATAGTTGAGCAAAAGTCAAGCGTATATTTTCCAATATTGTGCTTGTACAGTAGGCAGTAATGTTAATAAAATAAACGGAAGATTTATCTCCCAGGTTTTGTATTTGTTTAGATAGTGTATCAGTACATTTTGACGTGAGAACCTAGTTTTGACACATATTTTAGTATTGATTCTTATCTGAATTGGAAACACTTTTGACAACCCTAGAATACGGTATATGATCGCAATTACATTTACAATTAAATCATAAAGAGCTCTGCATGTAGACTGGGCCATACGGGTCAGACCGGTCTGGGAGCAACAGCAAACAGAGCCATGTCCTCTCGTAGGTTCATGCTTTGTAAATGTACTCATCGGACGGTCGACTGGAGACTGAGACGGAGACTGAGACTGAGAAGGGTCGGAGAGACAAATATATTTCAGCTGTTTTGACCAATCCAAATTCTCTGCATGTTGGCAAAAAACCGGCCACAAAACTTCAAAACAAGACATGTAGAAGCTTTTCCCGGAGGACGAGAGGGCCACCACGGTACCAGCGGCACAGACTTGCAGAAAAGTTCATTATTCCCCAACATGCGTGAATGAAGCAGCACAAATCCTATGAGTAAAGACAATGATTCTGTTCAGCATAGTATGGAACCTTTAAAACATAAAAAACAGAAAAAAACGGAAACCCCAGCAACACTTTAGGTCATAAACATGCATTCCGAGGTGACGAAAGAGAGAGAGAGAGGATGAGAAAGGGACAGGTAGGAGACATAGACTTACTTCTGAGCTCTGCGGGTGATACGGCAAAACAAAGACAGAAGCACAGTACAGGTTTAACCCACGACATTCACCACAGGAAGTCCCACTGGTAAAGCCAGGGAAGAGGGGGACGGGGGACACAGCTGGGGGGAGGAGGTGGGTCACGCTACGTAATGTCGTCACAGAAATGCAAGCGCTAAAACGGTAGGTAACAGTGGAATAGGTTGCGTTCAAGGTTGAAAACCGGACGTTGCGCATCGTCCAGAGAGAAATGTGGTGTAATACAAAGCGACAGTGTAATGTAAACACAGCTTTACAGAAGACACTTTGACTTGGTCCTCGTTCTACAGCCTGAGTCCTGGATCTACAGCCTGAGTCCTGGATCTACAGCCTGAGTCCTGGATCTACAGCCTGAGTCCTGGATCTACAGCCTGAGTCCTGGATCTACAGCCTGAGTCCTGGATCTACAGCCTGAGTCCTGGATCTACAGCCTGAGTCCTGGATCTACAGCCTGAGTCCTGGATCTACAGCCTCAGTCCTGGATCTACAGCCTGAGTCCTGGATCTACAGCCTCAGTCCTGGATCTACAGCCTGAGTCCTGGATCTACAGCCTCAGTCCTGGATCTACAGCCTGAGTCCTGGATCTACAGCCTCAGTCCTGGATCTACAGCCTGAGTCCTGGATCTACAGGCTGAGTCCTGGATCTACAGCCTAAGTCCTGGATCTACAGCCTGAGTCCTGGTTCTAGTCCTGGATCTACAGCCTGAGTCCTGGATCTACAGCCCGTCCGTGGCCTCCCCAAGGTTTCTCACTTTTTGTTTTTCCTTGCCGATGCAGGAGGGTCTCAGGACAGTGGTGATGATCCAGGACATTTGACATTCAGAGACATTTACCAACATTTATGGACATTGGTCTCCGTCCCTTATGCACCAATGGTTCTAGGGCTGGGCGATATGGCTGAAAACTATATCACAATATGAGTTATATCGGTCGATAACGATATATTGATTGTTTTTTGTTTTCGTTTTTTTTTAAACCTAAATAAATACATTTGTCGTGTCGGCTAACACATGTCAGCAGCCTTGTTTACAGTCACGGGGGATGAGGCTGGAGGCAAAAGTTCACAAGCAGTCTCCCCCATAGTTAGTCCTGGTTTAGTCCTGGTTTAATCCTGGTTTAGTCCTGGTTTAGTCCTGGTTTAGTCCTGGTTTAGTCCGGGTTTAGTCCTGGTTTAGTCCTGGTTTAGTCCTGGTTTAGTCCTGGTTTAGTCCTGGTTTAGTCCTGGTTTAGTCCGGGTTTAGTCCTGGTTTAGTCCTGGTTTAATCCTGGTTTAGTCCTGGTTTAGTCCTGGTTTAGCTGTTTTTGAGTGTCTTGTGTCCCTGTGACGGCTCCGGAAAAGGTTAATCTCTTGCTTTTGCCGAATGCATGGAGTCTCGAGTCTCTGTACCCACTGCCTCTCCCGCTGCACATGCTGTTCCTCACACAGACGTGTTTAACCTTTGACACGGCCTGAAACACCATCTTTAGATCCATGGCTATTTTAATAGATCCATGATCCATGGACGCTTGTTTTTGCATTTCCCAGAATGTTTAGCGGTTTGTGGTCGGCTGTGATAGGTCGAGAGCCCTCTGCCTACATCCCCCAGAATGCAGCGTGCTTCTGACACGGCTTTACTTCCTGTGTTTTCTTCCTGTTTTTTTCTAACGGACTGAAGTGAAATTATCGAACATTCTATCGACCCCGTTTTCTATTGATATCGAACACGTGTCTATTGCAATATATATCGTTATCGTTTTATCGCCCAGCCCTAAATGGTCCTATGTGATTTTTTATTGTTGCATTTCCACTGTGTGATTCTCTGATCTGTGTTGGAGAATCAATAATATCCTCCGAGTTTGTAATGTCCTCCGAGAAAACCACTGTTGTGATTTAGGGCGATACAAAAAAACATTGAACAGAAGTGAATTGATTTGACTTTTCCCCATAAACATAATCTTTTGGAATATTTGGCTTATTATAAGTAAGACATAAATGGTGAACATGCAAAATGGAGATTACAAGAATAAGCAACACTCGCAAATTGTGATAGAAGTAGAAATTCACTTTTTTTCCCCCAAGATTTTGACATAAATCTACCATGGAGCTAATCACAGACAGTATATGAGAACCCATATGGCCCATCCGAACCCAGGACCTTCTTGCTGTGAAGAAAAAGGACCGCCTCCTTTTTCTTCACAGCAAGAAGGTCCTGGGTTCGATTCCACCTCCAGGCCTTACTGTGTGGAGTTTGCATGTTTCCTCCAGGTGCTCCGGTTTCCCCCACGAGTAAAAACATGTACAAATGCCTCCCGCAACAGATCTGTCCGTGGCATCATTCGTCACACGTCACAATGTTGTAAGATGATGAAGATAAATGTAAAATGTATATATATATATCTCGATGGAATCATTAGTTAGTCAAAATCAAAATCAATCGTCAATCTTTTGCTTTATGAAATTGAGCAATTAAAAAAAATCTTGTAAACTTCCTCGACAAAAATCAAAATTTGACACAGATTGAGGGAAAAAAATGACATCACATGAACGCAACCTATTGTTTCTGTCGCTGAGAACTGCAGAGGGCCTTATCCTGCAGACGTATGGCAATGTATGACTACTGCTAATGCTACGACTGCTAGCATACTCTGGGGCGGCTTTGCTATTTACAGTTATGGTTCAACTTTTGTTTGGTTATAATAAAAATGGCCCAAAGTCTGGGACCACAGAAAGTTGGATCTAAAAATTGAATAATGTTAAATAATTAAGTTAAATACTGTATGTTTGCTATAGTGCTCAAAAAGAGACTGAAAAAGCAGCTTTAGATAGATGTACTGAATGACGGACATAGCACACACTACTGAAATAATAAAGAATATGTCGTTTTTACTTTGACGTTTTAAAAATAGAAATAATCTCTCAAGTTGAAAATATATGACAAACATATCAGTGCGTAATTATCACATTTAACCACCAGGGGGAGGTGGTGTTTTTAACTATGTATTTTAAATCAAACGATATATAAATCTGTAAAGACATTTGACTAAACATATTAAAATAATATTAGTGTGGGAGTTTATAAAAACAACTCCAGGTCTGTTTTTATCGTTGTATGGCGAACAATTTTTACATAGTATGTCTCCTTTAAGGTTCCCAGCCCTACATATCTATTCCAATATCAATTTTGTACCGGTGGTGGTCACAAATACTAAAATTGGACCACTACCCACATCCCCTCCAGTGTAAGACCCCGTGCAGTTCCCAGGCAGAAACATGATTACAATTCACCGCTGTTAAAACCCATAACTCAACCAGCCATAACATTACGACCACCAGTTATGTGCTGTTATTTAGTAAACGATTCCATACTGTCATAATGTATTGGCTGGTCCGTGCTACAATACACAATATATCAGTACAAACATTGCGTCTCTGCTTTTTAATCATAATCGACACATCGCGCACACGTTGTCATGATAATAATAATAATACTAATGTTGATGGTACCGAGACAGGAGGGGGAGACTTACTGGTGAATGGCTTGGAGGAACTTGCGCTGGTGTTTGCGCACCTTGGCGTGGTCGATCTTCTTCACCAGCTTTGTGTGTTTGTAGATGAGCCATGTTTCCCTGAGTACATTGGCAGCTGTGTTCTTGACCTGCGGGCGCAAAGATACAGCGGTTATTCTTAAGGAGGGGAAATAAATCCACTACGTCCACTTCACGGTCCACTCAGTGCATCTCCAGCTCTGATCCATACGAGGTCCCTGCTTTTTTGTTTACCTTCTGAATGCTCTACACATAACCAGCGGTAAGTGGTAAGTAGCAGCACCTGAACTCATGACTGCTGAAGTGACAGAGACCAGGGAGAGACCAGAGAGAGACCAGAGAGACCTGAGAGAGACCAGAGAGAGTGTAGAGAGAGACCAGAGAGAGACCAGAGAGAGACCAGAGAGACCAGGGAGTGACCAGAGAGAGTGTAGAGAGAGACCAGAGAGAGAGGCCAGAGAGAGAGACCAGGGAGAGACCAGAGAGAGAGACTAGAGAGAGACCAGGGAGAGACCAGAGAGAGACCAGAGAGACCTGAGAGAGACCAGAGAGAGACCAGAGAAAGTGTAGAGAGAGACCAGAGAGACCAGAGAGACCAGAGAGAGACCAGAGAGAGTGTAGAGAGAGACCAGAGAGAGACCAGAGAGAGAGACCAGGGAGAGACCAGAGAGAGAGACCAGAGAGAGACCAGAGAGAGACCAGAGAGAGAGACCAGAGAGAGACCAGAGAGAGAGACCAGGGAGAGACCAGAGAGAGAGACCAGGGAGAGACCAGAGAGAGACCAGAGAGACCAGAGAGAGAGACCAGAGAGAGACCAGAGAGAGACCAGAGAGAGAGACCAGAGAGAGAGACCAGAAAGAGACCAGAGAGAGACCAGAGAGAGACTAGAGAGAGACCAGAGTCCCCAGAGAGAGACCAGCGAGAGACTAGAGAGAGACCAGAGAGAGAGACTAGAGAGAGACCAGAGAGAGACCAGAGAGAGACCAGAGAGAGAGACCAGTGAGAGACCAGAGAGAGACCAGAGAGAGACTAGAGAGAGACTAGAGAGAGACCAGAGTCCCCAGAGAGAGACCAGCGAGAGACTAGAGAGACCAGAGAGAGACCAGAGAGAGACCAGAGAGAGAGACCAGAGAGAGACCAGAGAGAGAGACCAGGGAGAGACCAGAGAGAGAGACCAGGGAGAGACCAGAGAGAGACCAGAGAGACCAGAGAGAGAGACCAGAGAGAGACCAGAGAGAGACCAGAGAGAGAGACCAGAGAGAGAGACCAGAAAGAGACCAGAGAGAGACCAGAGAGAGACTAGAGAGAGACCAGAGTCCCCAGAGAGAGACCAGCGAGAGACTAGAGAGAGACCAGAGAGAGAGACTAGAGAGAGACCAGAGAGAGACCAGAGAGAGACCAGAGAGAGAGACCAGAGAGAGACCAGAGAGAGACCAGAGAGAGAGACCAGAGAGAGAGACCAGAGAGAGAGACCAGAGAGAGACCAAAGAGAGACCAGAGAGAGAGACCAGAGAGAGAGACCAGAGAGAGACCAGAGAGAGACCAGAGAGAGACCAGAGAGAGAGAGACCAGAGAGAGACCAGAGAGAGACCAGAGAGAGAGACCAGGGAGAGACCAGAGAGAGAGACCAGAGAGAGACCAGAGAGAGAGACCAGAGAGAGACCAGAGAGAGAGACCAGAGAGAGAGACCAGGGAGAGACCAGAGAGAGAGACCAGGGAGAGACCAGAGAGAGAGACCAGAGAGGAGACCAGAGAGACCAGAGAGAGAGACCAGAGAGAGACCAGAGAGAGACCAGAGAGAGAGACCAGAGAGAGACCAGAGAGAGAGACCAGAGAGAGACCAGAGAGAGACCAGAGAGAGACCAGAGAGTCACCAGAGAGAGACCAGCGAGAGACTAGAGAGAGACTAGAGAGAGACCAGAGAGAGACCAGAGAGTGACCAGAGAGAGACCAGAGAGACCAGAGAGACCAGAGAGAGACCACAGAGAGAGACCAGAGAGAGAGACCAGAGAGAGACCAGAGAGAGACCAGAGATCAGAGAGAGGCGAGAGAGAGACCAGAGAGACCAGAGAGAGACCAGAGAGAGAGAGACCAGAGAGAGACCAGAGAGAGACCAGAGAGAGACCAGAGAGAGACCAGAGAGAGACCAGAGAGAGACCAGAGAGAGACCAGAGATCAGAGAGAGACCAGAGAGAGACCAGAGAGAGACCAGAGAGAGAGACCAGAGAGAGACCAGAGAGAGACCAGAGAGAGACCAGAGAGAGACCAGAGAGAGACCAGAGAGACACGAGAGAGACCAGAGAGAGACCAGAGAGAGACCAGAGAGAGACCAGAGAGTTCTGAGTGCTCCATCGTGGGAATAACAGTTGGAACTAGAACCATACAGTCCTTTTCACAGTGAGACAGAACTCGACAGTTCTCTGGAACAGTGTGCGACTCACTCGTTTGCAGAGTTGTGTGTCCATCATGAAGTTGTGGACGTGTTTCTCAGCCTTCGTCAGCTCCAGTTTCCGGGCCACGACAGCCACCACCAGAGCCGTGCAGCCCGCTCCCTTCACACACACACACACACAACACACACACACACATAGACACACACACACACGCACACACACACACAAGCTTATAGTCCTGTTTTCAATATCTTAAAGACATGTGTGGTAATTATTTGGGTGATACATTTTACAACACTCAAAACTTGGCAAATTATATCCATTTCATGCATAACAGTAGCTTCACGCTGAGAACAAACTTTTTCCAAACATTTCGATCCTTCACATAGAGCCCTGTGTCCTCGATCCAGAATTTGACCTTAATTATTTAGTTAACAGCGGTATAAGGTGAATCAGTAGCACTGTCTTTACAGATCTAGGCGCCACATTACCAGAGAGAGAGAGAGAGACCAGAGAGACCAGAGAGAGACCAGAGAGACCAGAGAGAGAGACCAGAGAGAGACCAGGGAGAGACCAGAGAGAGAGACCAGAGAGAGACCAGAGAGAGAGACCAGGGAGAGACCAGAGAGAGAGACCAGGGAGAGACCAGAGAGAGAGACCAGAGAGAGACCAGAGAGACCAGAGAGAGACCAGAGAGAGACCAGAGAGAGAGACCAGGGAGAGACCAGAGAGAGAGACCAGGGAGAGACCAGAGAGAGAGACCAGAGAGAGAGACCAGAGAGAGAGACCAGAGAGAGAGCAGAGAGAGAGACCAGGGAGAGACCAGAGAGAGAGACCAGGGAGAGACCAGAGAGAGAGACCAGAGAGAGACCAGAGAGATACCAGAGAGAGAGACCAGAGAGAGAGACCAGAGAGAGAGACCAGAGAGAGAGACCAGAGAGAGAGACCAGAGAGAGAGACCAGGGAGAGACCAGAGAGAGAGACCAGGGAGAGACCAGAGAGAGAGACCAGAGAGAGAGACCAGAGAGATACCAGAGAGAGAGTCCAGAGAGAGATACCAGAGAGAGAGACCAGAGAGAGAGACCAGAGAGAGAGCAGAGAGAGAGACCAGGGAGAGACCAGAGAGAGAGACCAGGGAGAGACCAGAGAGAGAGACCAGAGAGAGAGACCAGAGAGATACCAGAGAGAGAGACCAGAGAGAGATACCAGAGATAGAGACCAGAGAGAGAGACCAGAGAGAGAGACCAGAGAGAGAGCAGAGAGAGACCAGAGAGAGAGACCAGGGAGAGACCAGAGAGAGAGACCAGGGAGAGACCAGAGAGAGACCAGAGAGAGAGACCAGGGAGAGACCAGAGAGAGACCAGGGAGAGACCAGAGAGAGACCAGAGAGAGACCAGAGAGAGACCAGGGAGAGAGCAGAGAGAGACCAGAGAGAGAGACCAGAGAGAGAGACAGAGAGAGAGACCAGAGAGAGACCAGAGAGAGACCAGAGAGAGACCCGAGAGAGAGCAGAGAGAGAGACCAGGGAGAGACCAGAGAGAGAGACCAGGGAGAGACCAGAGAGAGAGACCAGAGAGAGAGAGACCAGAGAGATACCAGAGAGAGAGACCAGAGAGAGAGACCAGAGAGAGAGACCAGAGAGAGAGCAGAGAGAGACCAGAGAGAGAGACCAGGGAGAGACCAGAGAGAGACCAGAGAGAGAGACCAGGGAGAGACCAGAGAGAGACCAGAGAGAGAGACCAGGGAGAGACCAGAGAGAGACCAGGGAGAGACCAGAGAGATACCAGAGAGACCAGAGAGAGACCAATAAGGTGAATCAGTAGCACTGTCTTTACAGATGTAGGCGCCACATTAGCATATTTTATTGTGGAAATAACATGTTTCAAGATCAACGTATTTATTAAGTCCTGTTTCATGAACTGTAGGTCTGGAAGCGGTCTTTAGTAAAGTGTCTCTTGCCAAAAAACAGATTTGTAGTGGATTTGAAAGGCAGATTCTGGGAATAGAAAGTGCAGCCACATTGTTTGACTTTGGGTCAAATAGTGTCGTCACATATTTAACAGTTTTACTTGGCGACAATAGCAGAAAAACACGAAAAACTTGACACCTACAGTGGTTGAAGCCCCGCCTCCAGGAGGTGATTGACAGGGGGAGGAATCAAAATGGGCGCATGCAGCCCCTGTCCGACTCGGGACGGAGGCGACGGAAGCGCTTATTTGCCGTTTTGATTCCTCCCCCTGTCAATCACCTCCTGGAGGCGGGGCTTCTCACGTCACTAATTGACCCGAGGCGTTTTGCTGCCTCTGGAGAATGAAAGAAAAAGATTGATCTCTAACTAAAACTTGAGGGAATCTTTTAAAAAACTGTTTGAGCGTGGGTATGAAGACCGAACAGCACTAAGGATGTTCAAAGGTATTCTGTGTACTTTTTACAGTTGCTCAAAATGAAAATCATAGTAAATCTGACCTTTTTAAGATTATTTATTGGATGGATGGATGTTTTCTAATTGTTGTCATAGACTCGACATATGTGTCCATGAGGCGCCATCTTGAAATACAGTGGTTCATATGGGACAAAAAGGAGTTTGAGCGGGATTTGGGGACCACTGTCAAAGACGACATATTGTCCTGTGAAGCTAACGCAGTATCGTAAATTACAATATATGATATCAATGCTAGATGGGAGTAAGAACTACACAGTGTACTTTTAAAGCAGAGACAAGTCAAAAAGCGTAAAATGGGACCTTTAAAATCCCATTGCGCGTCCACAAACGTGTGCACAGGTGGAGTACGCACCATGATGCCGGTCAGCAGACACACGCCTTTGCCACAGTAAGTATGTGGTACCATGTCTCCGTATCCGATGGACAGGAAGGTGATGGAGATGAGCCACATGGCGCCCAGGAAGTTACTGGTCACTTCCTGTTTGTCATGATACCTGCAAGAGGAAAGCGGCACCAAGTCAGTCACTGCGCTGGAGCTGTCTGAACAGATGCATGCTGGGAAAGTGAGTGAGAGAAAGAGAGAGAGAGAGAGAGTAAACAGTGCAAGTAGAGGGGGTTACACTGTGTGGAGTGGTCTGGCATTCAAACCAGCTCTGTGCGCAGCGGGCGACGCTAGCACGCTGTTAGCTCACTGTTAGCTCACTGTTAGCATCAGCGCTTTCTGCTTATTTGGAGTATTCACCAAGTTACAACATCGTTCCCTGGTCAAAGTCTGAGCTGACGTCATTTCACCCCCGTAGAACCCCGACGTAAAATATTTGTCGATAAAAATTTGTTGTGCTATTTTTGACATTCAATGCCCAAATTTGGCAGAAATCCTTAGATTCATACATTAATTAATGCATTGAACCAAAAAATTGTACTTCTTTTGCCTTAACCTTTGAATTTGATGTAACATATTTGTAACCGAGGGTGCTGGGGGTTAAATAACATTACAGCTTTCAGTGTGTTTAGTTTTTTAGCATTTAGCATTTAGCATTTGATTTGCCGTTTGTAGTAAAGCCACATCAGAATACTTATAGAAATATAGTGCATTCCCTGAGGTCAGAGCTGGTGTCTCCAACTTCTGAGTTTAGAGAATTAGCTAACGCCGCGCTATTTTCAGTTGCAACAAAACAGAATAGGTGGAACTGAGGCTAACACACTGAGCTAACAGCGAGCTAGCTAGCCCGTTCATGCACACAGAGCCCATTCTTGGTAAAAAAAAAATCAGTTAGACAAAGACACTCCGTCGCATGAATTCAACGTAAACACCATCAAAGTATGGAGAATGGTTTGATTTCAATGGCTCCATTAGGATACCATCCAAAATCCACGTCCCAAAGGCTCACGTGGACTTCCGTCGAGATTCGCCCGAAAACCCGTCCCCTCCTCCCCTCCCGAGCACACACACACATACACGTTTTTGTTACCTGGTGGGTCCCTTTGACAGGGCCGTTCAGAATGGGACCCATAGACATAATCTTTTTTTACCAAGGGACTACTTTAAGTAATACAAAACAGTCAATAGAAACCAAACAACTATTTTAAAGGAATTTTATTTTAGATTTTGTTTTCGAATTGCAGTGATTCTATTTTTGACATAGAATTTAATGCCACTCCATGTCCGATGTCTAAGGTCATCTGGTGAGGCATTAATGCAGGCCAGGCAGTGAGACTTCCCAGGGACCTTTCCAGTCTGTATGAAAGGTGTCATGGTCTTCTCCACAGCCTTCACCTCAGATGCAGACCATGGCTTTCTTACACGTTCTAGGGAGAGAAATAAAAATATATTAGCAATATACACTCCCAGGGTTAGGACCAAGCAGCCTGGCTGTAATCCCCCACCTGGTACACTTACCAGAAGGGGCACTGCCACTACCATGGGGTGCATCTGGATGAATGGTTGAAGGTTCTCCGCTTGAAGTTTCTTTTAGCCCGTCCGTTTGTGAGAGGATCTCTACTGCTCTCCCTGTCGCACAGAAAATAAAAATACAAGTGGCCTTTAGGGGAAAAAAATCATACATATTTTAATAATATCAAGAATTACCTTCAGGCTCAATTTGTATCTGGTCGAGGCTCTTTCCTTCGAATTCCGTCACTCTTCCCTGCTCCATGGCCATCAACACTTTGCTGATTTTGGCCAGCTCCAGTGTCCCCTCTGGTAGTCTGTAATATTGCCTGTGGATGCGAATGTCATGGCCGAGGAAGTTGGCAAGTATGTCCATCTCATTCTCTTTCATATTGAGAACTGTAGACATAGTAGCTATGTGCTTTCTAAGTTTGGTTGAGGATAGCATCTCTGGATGCACCGCACCACATTCTTTGGCTACCTGGCGTAGGGAGTCTGATCCCCTGATGTGGGTGTCTGCGCCCGGGCGGGAAAAGAAGTATGGGTTATGGTCAGAGATGGAACAGGCCCTTCTGTTCTCCACCAGCACCTCCATCGAAGCAATCATTTCAGGAGTCAAAAGAACCGGCACTTTCCGACTTCTTTTCCCTTTAATTTCAATGCGTTGAAAATGCTGACACAGCTTTTTCTCAAGTTGGGACAGTCCCAGAGCAATGTCAGAATGGATCCCAGTCTTACTTCTTAAGGTAAAGGCTGTCAGTGGCATCTTTGAAACCTCACCTTCCCTTCTTCGATTGAAAATGATGACCTCACAAAGAGTCAAAACTGCCAGTTTAGACCAATGCTTAGACGTTGGCTCACTTATTAGGGTTTGCACATATTCAGGTCGACATACCTCAATATGTGCATGCATGGCTCTAACGTCCTCAGTCAGAGGGAGCAGGTCCGGAGTGTTCCACTTGGCTTGCCGGAGGGTCTGTAGGGCAGCAGAAGAAACACAGACGTCCCACCTCTTCTCAAAAAGCAGCCGGCTTCGTTGGAGGTTTTTAATAAATAGTTCATCAACACAATGCTCCATTTTTGAGTCACATTCAAGAATATCTGCTAGCTTTCTGAGGCTATGGCCGAGTTTGAGGGCCAAGGATGGAGTCTTGTATTGATTTGTTTCCTCATCATATCCAGCCACAGACCTGACTGCATCAATCACATGGTTAAAGTTGGAAGGAATAAAGAAATCCTTAATTGTTTTCAGTTTCCCTGCGGTTTTTGCTTCGTTAATTAACCTACCGACTTCTCTCATTTTCTGCCTAATGTAATCATGCTTTGTCTTATCATGCCCGTGTTTTAAGTACAGGTGCTCTCCGAGTCTCAGAATCCCCTTTTCTGCTTTGACAACACCCGTGACCTCATCCTGATGCATTGCCGAAATTAAAGACCACAGCTTTTTGCTGATGCCCTCCGGTACAGGCTGGGCTAGGGAGCAGAGGGACTGGACCCTACTTCTACCTGGTTTAGCCTGGGCATCTTTCTGTGAAAGCCGGCACCTGGCCACATGCCTCCACAGCGACTTTCGCTTAAGCAATGCCCCACAGTCTATACAGTGCAAAAACTCACTGGATTTAACTGGGGAATTTGGCTGTTTAGCTGGGACTAAAGTTCCAATGCCGGCCTTTAAAACCTCAAAATTGTGCTCACGGTTTCCACTATTCCTGATCAAATCAAACTGAAGTTTACGTGCTTTAGATTTCACAGGTAGAGCCAATGCTCTGGCTACGTCACTTTCATTTCCATGTTTTCTAGTCAAATGACGGGACATTTTGTGGCAGGACATTGAACAGTAGAGGCAGAAGTGTCTCTTGCTGTATACTCGCCCCCCATTTTTCTTCTTTTGCAGCTGCATGATAACAATCTTATTTGCCTTTGGTTCGTCACTTTCCGAGTCTTGAAGAAAAGTGTTTTTGATTTTTCTTTTTCCATACTTTTTTACAGGTTTCTTCTTGACAGTTAAATCGTCAGAATCTGAGTCGACTTCATCAATTAGGGACTCTTGACTAAGCTGCACAAACAACAAATAATTTGTAATCATTCTATATAACAATTTGAAGTCATGACTTGTAGTCAGCACTTACCAGTGGTTTGTAAGCGTGCGCTTCAGTGTGCTCCTCCATGATTTCTTGCAGCCTAATGAACCACACACTTGCACCTTTTTCTAGCCTGACACCTGATTTCCTCTGTTGTGCTGCTCCATGATTGGCTCCAGCCTGCTGGACTGAAATTGCCCCAGTGTGCCCCTCCTTGATATCCCGCAACCCACCACCAGGGTTCCGACACATAACACACTTTTTTCAGGAAAGTAAACCTCCAGGGGTCCTTTCCATATTTTTACAGAGACTGCATAAGGACCGTTAGAAAAGCATTACCCATTGATTATTAAGCTTGGACCAGTGGGGTCCGGTGTTCGGGCCCCACCACGTAAAACCAGTCCCCATGACGTGAGTGGAATCTCAGGTTATGGAACCCACCAGGAGTTGAAAACAAGTGCACTCTCTCTCTCACACACACACACACACTCTCTCACACACACACACTTTCTCTCACACACACACATACACACTCTCTCTCACATACACACTCTCTCACACACACACACACTTTCTCTCACACACATACACACACACACATAAGTCATCTGTACAGCACCTTTCACAGACAGATTAAAAACTTTAAGGTCCTGGGTTCAATTCCACCTCCAGACCTTTTTGCTTGGAGTTTGCATGTTCTCCCCGTGTCTACGCAGGTTTCTTCCGGGTGCTCCGGTTTCCCCTATCATTGCATTTCCCCAACCCTGGACACACACGCACACACACACACACAGCTGCCTATCACTATACCCCGCCCCCTCCTCTCTCTGACGCTGACGTAGCGCGGCCGTTCCGAGGTTTTACTTTAATGTGATCTGATTCTAAACCTCTCACGTTCCCTGTCCGTACAGAGAGGAAGCTGACTGTGTGTTTTTGTTCATGGTGCTGCTGGTTTCTGTGGGAGAGGAGCGGAGAGGACGCTGCTGATTCAGCCCAACCCCTGGAAGAGGTCACGGGAGCGCGGTGGACTCCTGACGCCATCTGGTGGAGAGAGACAGGTACTGACAAACAGACTCTAAGATAAGATGGACTTTATTGATCTCACAAATAAGAAAAAGATTGTGCAAAAGAAATAAATGTGCAACATGTTAAATGCAGGATATATTATGTACAATAAAAAAGTGGCAATTAAGAAACAGTGTCAATAGTAGTGCAGGTTTTTTAGTCCTAATGCAAGTGACTTAAAGTGACTTGTTGTACAGTCTGACAGCGGTGGGGATAAAGGCCCTGCGGTAGCGCTCCTTCTTCCACTGAAGGAGCTCCTCAGCTCCTCCTCAGTCCTGTGCAGTGGGAGGTGTTGTTCATGATGGAGGTGGCTTTGACTAGCACCTCCTGTCCCTCACCTCCTCCACAGAGTCCAGGGGACTCCTGTCCCTCACCTCCTCCACAGAGTCCAGGGGCCTCCTGTCCCTCACCTCCTCCACAGAGTCCAGGGGACTCCTGTCCCTCACCTCCTCCACAGAGTCCAGGGGCCTCCTGTCCCTCACCTCCTCCTGAGCAGCTTGTTCAGTCCTGTCCCGCTCTGTGCTCAGTGGGATAAGATAAACTTTATGGATCTAAAATGGAGACGTCACATTTGGCAAAGATAGACTCAGAGCGTGCACAAAGACAGAAAGTTTGCAAACATGTTAAAAAAGTTTCTGATATAATTTCTTTTGTGCAAGATATATTATTTTTGACAACAAATTCAAAGTGACTGCAGCAGTGTGAGTTTTCAGTCCTAGTGCATGTCCTTAAAGTGATTCATTGTACAGTCTGACAGTGAAGTCTTCAGCCCCGTGGCCTGGTCCTCGGTGTTGGGAAAGTTTCTTCAAATCCATGATGTGTTACTTGTTACTGTTTCAATATTTCTGTCTCTGGCTTTGTAAAACATGACACTACGGCATTACTTTGAAGTTACTTTCACCAAATATAAACACAGACTAAAGGACGTGAGCGTCGTCAGAGCTTTGGGTTTGAACATAAAAAGGTCTTTGCTTTTTGTGGTTCTTTTGAAAGACACGTTAAACTCAAGACTAAATGAACCTTTTTGAATCATTGGAAAAGGTTTGTTTCAGAAATTCTAAAAAACGTTGCCAAAAACTAACAAGTTGTAACTAAGTATAAATCCACATTAAGTAATCACATCAACAATTATTCAAGAAAAACGAAAACAGGATCAAAAATGCACTATTCTTTATTGCAGTCAAGTCCCATTGTTGTTAAATATGATTGAATTATTCGTACACATTAGATAAGAAAATAAATAATTATGTCATGATGATTTAAATATATTATTATAATTTCATCTCCGTTAGCAGAACTGGATCAGCTCTCTCTTGCTGCAGCCTTTCTCGCAGCACAGGTCCGAGATCTTCAGAGCGGTGCGTCTCATTCTGGCCGACAGGGGGAGCCACTGAGCCACCAGGGCCTCCATGTCCTCACGCTGAGGGGGGACGGGGCCCAGGGCTGAGGCTGAGGCTGAGGTTGACGCTGGGGGGGAGGAGGGGTCCACTGCAAAAGGAACAAACAAGAGCTTAGAGCCGGGGAGCAACTCTCAAAAGGCTAAATGTGAGAGAAGAGGAGAGCAGCTTCAGCGACAGACTGATCTACCCTCGCTGTGTGCTTTGCAGCTACTTGTGTTGTATATTTTGTGTGCTCTTTCTACACTGCAGGGCTGGACTGGGACAAAAAAACGGCCCGGGCATTTTTTCCTTTTTAGCGGCCCAGGCAACTCAAAAGGTTCAAGGAGCCCTATTTGACAAAAAAAAAAAAAAACAGCGTTGTATAAGGCTTATATGAAGGTAACAGGGGCTGAAGCTGTATTAGCTACATTAGCTATATTAGCTACATTAGCCTAATATCTAAATGATAAAGTAAAGGATAAACACATAAAAACCATTCATGATTATCAGATGTGTATTTTCATTGCAGCGTGTCCTGGAGAGAATGATGCACCACGTGACGACTCTGCTTTAAGTTTAACCTTCTTGCAACTGCACAAATACAGTAAATAAATCTGCTTTTTGGCTCCGAGTTCACCTGCATCACTGTCTGTTCATATCCATCACAGGCTGAAGTTTGCTGGAGCTGAATGTCCTTAATGGCCTTTTCTTTCACCGTCTTTGAGAAGGTTTTTGAAGTCTGAAAATAGGTGCTCTGACTTTATGATGAATGAATCTTTCAGTGAACGGTGTTTAAAGCTTCATTGTTCCTCGTGTTGCAACAAAACTTTTCATTACATCGCAAACATGAAGCAGTCCTTCCTCACTGACTGAAAGCAAATGTTCATTCTCATTCTTAGTCCAGTCTTATCGACTCTCTTTATCTTTGGGATCCATGCGCACACACAGTTAAAATTGAATATTACTTATACAAGTTTTTGCAGCATTGAAAAACATTAAGAATGTTTTTCCTCCTACAGAAACCACATTGAAACTAGAAATAAAATATAGCCCTCACACTCCACTATCAGACATTTTTGAAAAGGCTCCAGGAGCCACTTTAGGGGCACTAAAGGTTGCCGACCCCTGGTTTATACAGTATGTGGAAGCAAATACTGTAGAGGATCAGGATCGCTCCAGTTTTAACAATAAAATAAAGTACAATAGTCTACATTAAACAGAGTAATAACCATGTCTCAGAGTGAGGGAGGTGGACACAGACAACACTATTGTTTGTTACAGGGATGAGAATTGGTAAACATTTCTGAAATGCATATTGTCAGCCATTTGCTGGCTCTAAATATGTTTAATCTGTTCACAACATTTTACTTTTGGGCTCAAACATGAACTTTTAATGCAATGGAAAATTTAGGTACCCGAGCTTTAATTTTGAGGAGAGGGGAGACGCGGACTGTTTTTTGCAGCGGTGTATTTATTGGGTGCACAAATTACGAAAAGACATGCATGGTCCTGTGCGCGTTTATGGTCTTGGGTACATGGTCACGTTGCGGCTATAGCGCTCACCGTGTTGTGTTGTGAGCGGTTCCCGGTGAGCGGCTCCTGCGTCCAGCTCAGAGCCGCTGGATGCGGGAACACTGCGGCCGCTGAGGTGGTGGAATCCCGTTCGAGTACATACAGCAGGTGCCCCGCGGACACGCGCGCGCCCCTCAAACATTTCTCAACGGATTTACACTTTTCACAAACATGTGTTTTGTATGAGGCAGACAGACCGGCCCAAATATGGGCATCGGCCCTTCGGGCATTGCCCGGTACGCCCGATGGCCAGTCCAGCCCTGCTACACTGTAAATATATTTCAAAGTGCTGCACAACAAGCAAAACATGGCAACAAATAAATAAATATGCACATTTATAAAAGACATATTTAAAAACACAGAGCCAGAGAATAAAAGTGGGTCTTAAAACGAGACTTAAAACATTCCAACGAGATGATGTTTTGACGTTGATATTTGTATAATATGAGGTAATATTTGTATAATATGAGGTAATATTTGCGTGAATTGAGTGTGTTTTTCGCCGGGAACCAGCAGAAGGGCATTGGTCGCTGCCCGTTATGGACCAAAGGCTCTCTGTGTGTGGTGGCGTTGGAAATGAGGCGTGCCTGTAAGACTCACTTGGATGTACCAATCTATCTATCAACGCACTGACTGCCTTGTTTTTGATGATTTCACTGACTTTCACGACCTACAGAATATTGTGTGCTGTGACTATGGGAAATATAGAACCAGATTCTGAAAGATTGGACCGTCTACTTTCAAATCATTTCATTTTCTACCCCTTTTTTAATCCATTTCTGGGTCAGGGGGGTGGCAATCAGAGCTGCCACCCAAGTCTCAAAGCACCAGCCCCTCTGATCCTCTGCAGGGGGTGGGTCCACAGGAAGATGGCTTCTCCGTCATCAATGAGAGGTCTTTCAGCGGGGGCTTCAGGCAATGTGGGGTTAAGGGTTAGGGTTAGGACCAGTGCTCTACCAACTGAGCTACTGCCGGACTGACGACTTTCAGCAGCAAAAATATGTTGGTTTAGTGTTCTCCTGTAATCCCCAGTCCAATTGTTTGACAGAAATTCCCAGTATTACAAAAAATACGTCAATGGAATTCAATGAGTTAATGACACTGTCGAAAACAGACCAAGAAATAGGAGAAAGTCCCTGAAAATAACTTTTTTTAGCTGTTAACACATGAGCACAGCACCACACCTGGCATTGGCTATACCATGTGTCTATGATTTCTGATTCTCTGATCTGTGTTGACAAATCCCCAACTTTGTCCTCAGAGATTACCACTGTTGTGATCAAGCAATGAACCGCGCTCCACGCCTTCCCTGCCGTCTCACCTGGTCTGCGGTCCTTCATGGTCAGCGTCACCACCGCCCTCCTCAGCCTGGAGCCTCCGCAGTACGACATGGCCTTCCGGATCAGGTCTCTGCCGCACATTTTGATGTCTTCCTGAGCGTCCACCGTCAGCACCAGGACCAGGACCACACACAGCACTGCTCTGAGCCCAGACATGCTGCTCTCCTCTGGGGGTACAGTCTCTGGAGGACGCTCTGGAGCTGCGGAGGCTTTTATAGCAGACCAGGAGTGCTGAGGGGACGCATTCTCTTCCCACGTCCTTCAGCCTTGGCCGGAGGAAAGTATGTCCCGAACCGCCCCAAACCCCCCCAAGGATGGAGAGCTCGTTTAGATTAGAGAGGATTTATGTGACGGCTGAAGCTACAGGTGCAACAACATCGTGGTCAGAGATGTGGAACTATCAGCTGTGTGTTAGTAAACAGAGGAACCAGAGGAACATGGTAGAAAGGTTTCTCTGTGATGATGTAGGAAGGACAGTGGGGATGATCTAGGACTTTAAATACTAACAATAATAATAATGAAAGGATTACATACGGCGTTTTTCTAGACTCTCAAAGACGCTTCACATGTCGTTATTAATGCACTCCACTACAACTATGGCCACAGCTGCCCTGGGGCATATTGACAGAAGCAGGGCAACCAGTATGTGCCATCAGCCCCTCCCACCACCACCAACCATTCACACACCAGACTCATTCTAATGTGGGGGAAGTGTCTTGCCTAAGGACACAGCCACAGTTTGGCACTTTACAGCCGCAGCCGCCCCACTGTGGCACCTGCTGTTTCCCAAAGGTCTCCCATCACAGTACTAACCAGGCCCTGCCCTGCTTAGCTTCAAAGGTCTGACAGGATCTGGCTTTCACCTGCAGCTTATTCCATGATTGACAATAGACCTTCTCCATATTTACACAGCTGAATAGACAAGAGTTTGGTCAACAACAAATCTATAAGCAACACCTTTTTCACAAAGATAGAAATCCTGGTTTTATTCCTTGTTTTGTTGTTAATGATTTGAGAATCATAACGAGACCTTTTTTAGTTCTGCGCCACATGGTACTTTACCAGTGAGATTAGCTCGATGCAGTGAGTTCTGGCGCCCGGATCACAGACTTTCTGATTGGTGAAACGGTGGAGGGCGGGACATCGAAATGAAAACAATAACAAGATTAGGGCCCTTTAATGATGACAGATTAGGGCCCTTTAATGATGACAGATTAGAGCCCTTTAATGATGACAGATTAGGGCCCTTTAATGATGACAGATTAGGGCCCTTTAATGATGACAGATTAGAGCCCTTTAATGATGACAGATTAGGGCCCTTTAATGATGACAGATTAGGGCCCTTTAATGATGACAGATTAGAGCCCTTTAATGATGACAGATTAGAGCCCTTTAATGATGACAGATTAGGGCCTTTAATGATGACAGATTAGAGCCCTTTAATGATGACAGATTAGAGCCCTTTAATGATGACAGATTAGGGCCTTTAATGATGACAGATTAGGGCCCTTTAATGATAACTTGACCTGAAAATCTCACATTGTGCAACTTTGAATGAATTGTAACCACATGAGTTTGTATAAATGATATAAACCGTGTATATAGGTACGTTTTTAAGATAATATTGAAAATGTTAATGTAGTGTAGAAAGGCCCAACACGGACTGGAGTTTTTTTTCTCTGTCGCTTGTTGGAGAAAATAATGGCCCTCTGCTTTAGAATTGTCATGCTTTTTGGTCACATTGATGTATTCTGACCAGTAGAATAAAGTCAACATTATTTGGTCCTTATTATGCAGCCAGCGAAAGTTCAATTTGGTAGACGTCAGCCAAAGGTAACCCCTCCAGGCCGGTTCTCATCCCCAGCCTATCGCACGGCAAACGCCCCCTTCCAATCACCGGTCCAGCCAGGCAAGCTGCTTAAAAGCGGAGGAACTCCCATTCTCGGCCTTCTCGAAGCCTGCAAAGAATCGTCTAGGAGGAATCGTTTTCGTCTACTCACGCTACTCGGCGCGTCCCTGGCGTCCTCCGTCTGGCTGCTTGTGGTCTGCTCCTCCTCCACGTCCCTGCACTGGTCTGCTCCTCCTCCACGTCCCTGCACTGGTCTGCTCCTCCTTCGCGTCCCTGCACTGGTCTGCTCCCCCTCCGCGTCCCTGCACCTGCTGTGGTTCGCCTCCACTGCTCTCCTCTGCGGGCTCTTCTGCGGGCTGCTCCGCGGGGCCCCCTCCGCGGGTGCGGTGCTGCTCGTTCCTCGTGGCCTGCTGCCGCACGCAGAAGGTCTGGCGGTGCCGTGCGTGTCCCTGCCTCGATTGGCGGTGCCGCGTTGTCCCGTTGCTTTTCCCAAGTCTCCTGGCATGTGAGTACAGTGAGTGTGCTGACCGCGGACAGATTAATCCCGGAGTTTTGGGCTGCAGGCGATTGGGTTTTGCCCCGCGCACTTGACTGCAGGCGCCAGTCTTTTCGCCCCGCGCTTGGTCTGCAGGCTCCGTTTCACATGTGTTTGAGCTAACTGAGGGGCAATGCATATTAAATGGCATCACTCTCTATTGTCTGAGGGATATACGAGGAGCTATGTGCATTAATTCAGATTCATGTTCTGCCACTTTCAGTAAAACCATGCATTTAAATAGCTAGGTCGCTGGTATTTAATTAGGTAACTAACTGCAGTTGTTGCATTTGAAAGTGCAGCAGAAAGAAAAAGGGCCCAACATGACTCTGCAATGGGTGTGAAGTGGTGTTGGAGCTAATGAACGCATGAATCAGTGATCGTTCATGCGTATCTGCCATAACCAAAGCAGCAGATGGCTCCAGGGGACGTCTGTTATTCACATGGGATGTTTCGGATTCGGGTCGGTTTTTCTTTTTCTTTTCCTCAGGCTGTTAAACAACCATGGGCATGGTTCTCTGACCGCCGCTGCTGCCGGTCCCCGCTGCCGTTCCTACTGATGCCTGATCCCGCCGCCACTGTTCCTGCTGCCGCTCCTGCTGCTGCCTGTTCCTGCTGCGCTCCTGCTGCTGTCTGTCCCTGCTGCCTGCTTCTGCTGCTTCATACTGCTACCGCTACTGCTGCTACTGCTGCTGCTTCATACTGCTACTACTGCCGTGCTGCTGCTGCTTCATGTACTTCGTCATCTCTCTTCACTTCGCTTCTCTTACGAAACACTAAACAGCTACAACATATTCTAATGCCGTGGCTTTGATACAGGGTTTTGCCGTTATATCTACGGATGCTGCAGCTGCTGCTGCCGCGGCTGATACAGGTTGTTGCCGTTATTATCTGAGGTGCCGCTGCTGCTACTGCTACTGCTGCAACCCACTCTCTCAGAAGCTTATCCTGCTTCTAACGGACGCAGCCCGGCTGAGTATGCCGCGCTGCGCTGGACTCTCACCTATGCTCCCAGGGTCGCTTCGGCGGTCATGCTTCATCTCTTTACTTAATCTTCCGATTCTATCAGATGCAGCTGGCCGAGTAGCTGCGCTGAGCTGTCAATCGGACTCCTAATCAAAGGCGTCCATACCTGTATTCTTCGCTCTTCTGATCGCAGGCTCCCCCATCATGCTGCCCATCCTGCAGCGGCTCTGAGCGGCACTGAACTCCGGCTCTTCTTCCAAGTACACGTCTGCCCTCCTCGCAGCATCTTCCTGCTCGCCTTCTATGGCTTCTCTGCATAAGCGTTTCACTACTGCTCACTCACCCTTCAGGCGGTCCGAGACACGGCTTTTCCCGACCATCCTACCATCCTGATTATCTACTCTCCAACCCAAGATTCTAAGCGTAAGGGCGCCTGCGACTTCATGGCCCTCTCCGATATGTCTCTGCCCCTACAGGTCTCCGCTTCTACACGGACGTGCCCCTTCCGTGGGTTTTGGGGGTTTTTTCCAGGACCATCGGGTTGCCGGGCCGTGGCCGCTACTTCCACCGGAGCATCTCCTCTGCCCTACACGAGATATTCCCAGTGGTCGTGGCCTGCGCGCGGCGGAATCACACCTGGCAGAGAAAGAGGATCTCCGTCATGCGTGATAATCTCGACTTCCAGGAGTTCCGACGCCTCTGCCCTTCTGCCAACCCATCACCATGCCAGATCCCCTGCATGGAATCCCTCGCCCTGGACTAGTCCCTCCGTCTCTTCACCTCCTCATCTCCTCCGCTGCATCCTACACGAAGATGGGTCTCTCACCTTCCACACTGAAATCATACAGTTTTGCGTGGAAAGTCTACTCCAGCTTCTGTCACGCCCACTGCATTCCACTCATTCCGCCCTCTGCTGTCACGATCCATGATGCATTACACTCGCCTCCGCTCTCGGAAAGGAGATCTCAACGGACCGTTATTTCTTACCCCCGATAACCTCCCTATGTCCTCCAACTGGTTCAGAGCCCAACTCAGGTCCGTACTGCTGCTTTGTAACATGTCTCCCCATCTCTACACAGCCCACTCCTTCGGATAGGCGCCGCCACGCGCGCCGCGTCCCTTGGGCTCCCCTATTCCGCCCTCCAGCAGGTGGGCCGCTGGTCATCATCGGCCCTCTCCTCATACATCAGGCCTGACACCTCTTCCATCCTGGCAGCCCAGCGGCTTTTGGCATCTCCATAAAACACTCGCTAAACTTCCTGGTGGCGGCAGCAGCTGAGGATCCGCAAGTTTGGTCACAATAGATAGCGGTCACAGCATATAGTGATAGCGGTCACAGTATATAGCAAAAAATGGTTAGCGGTCACAGTATATAGCGATAGCGGTCACAGTATATAGCGATAGCGGTCACAGTATATAGCAAAAAATGGTTAGCGGTCACAGTATATAGCAAAAAATGGTTAGCGGTCACAGTATATAGCAAAAAATGGTTAGCGCGCGATGGTCGCGACTCGTCAGCATATAGCGATAGCGGTCACAGTATATAGCGATAGCGGTCACAGTATATAGCGATAGCGGTCACAGTATATAGCGATAGCGGTCACAGTATATAGCGATAGCGGTCACAGCATATAGCGATAGCGGTCACAGTATATAGCGATAGCGGTCACAGCATATAGCGATAGCGGTCACAGTATATAGCGATAGCGGTCACAGCATAGAGTAGTCTCGACGTCTGTCCCCTTCAAACCAGGCTGCAAAACTCCATCAACTCACAACCTTTTTGGGGATTGGCACGCTCCTTCGCATGGAGGCCCTCCGATCCGAAGGCCGCACCGGGGCCTAGGGCGCCAAACCTCCTCCCAATAAAATACTCAAAGCTTCTTGTTTCACGTCTCTCCAAATTGAAATGCAGCCAGCGAAAGTTCAATTTGGTAGACGTCAGCCAAAGGTAACCCCTCCAGGCCGGTTCTCATCCCCAGCCTATCGCACGGCAAACGCCCCCTTCCAATCACCGGTCCACTACAGGCAAGCTGCTTAAAAGCGGAGGAACTCCCACTCTCGGCCTTCTCGAAGCCTGCAACCACCGCCTACCCTCCTCCTCCTCTTCACCCTGCCTTCATTCTGCCTTCAATCTGCTTCCCGCTGCAAATGCCGCCACCAGTGCCTAGGTCCCGGGGGATTGGCACGCTCCTTCGCATGGAGGCCCTCCGATCCGAAGGCCGCACCGGGGCCTAGGGCGCCAAACCTCCTCCCAATAAAATACTCAAAGCTTCTTGTTTCACGTCTCTCCAAATTGAAATACAGCTCCTCACAGCAGCAGGAGAACGCTCCATTGATATGAATGTAATTTCAAAACGTTTTACCGGTCATTATTTTCTATAACAGACCTCTCAAAACAATAATGACCGCTGCCCTTTGGCAACCACTCTGTGCTTGTCTTTCAGATGCGTGGATAATTCCGCAAGTAGTTCCGGCCACTCTGGAGCTAGCCACGCTCAATCAACACACTTAAATGTTAATCGGAGAATACTTATACATTCTTCACACACGTGCACGGAAATTTTCAGAATTTTCTGGTCTTGTCTTCATGACAAAAATACTATTTCTCTGCGTCAAAAAGCGATCGTAAAAAACCCGGAAGTAGTTCCGGCCGCTCAATAAACGCAAATGCCAATCCATCAACGCAATGAAATGTTAATCGGAGAGTGAATAATACATATCCAGTCTTAATACAAGTGCACGGAAGTTTTCAGAATTTTCCGTTTACGTTTTCATGACAAAAACACTGAAAAAAGGCGATCCCGAAAAACCCGGAAGTAGATACCGGCACATTTTCGGACACATTTGCAGAGGATGGAATTATGGATTTAGGTTAAGTTTATGTTTGGGTCACTCACCGCTGATGTTCAGAATTCTTAGTTCAGTTTTCATGCAGTTCCAGAGAGTTCTAGTTTGGAAGTTGCCAGCCTAACTGTTGCTAGCATAGCCACGGGAAAGCCTTTGGGAACTATTTTATTTTCTTTCTTATTTTAAATAAACCTTTCGGCATTCCTGAAAGTGGCCTGAAGTTTATGTTGTGTGTTCTGTTGGTATAAAGCCGTATAATAAGCGGGATAACGTATATTACGCAGGTCATTATCGGAAAATAAGTACAGACGGGGCGAAGAGGACCCCGGACCCCGACACTTAGACAGACTTTATCGATCCACAGGGAGATCGCGTTGTCACAGTCGCTTGTATAGAATTTAACAACAAAAATAACTCTTAAATTCTGTGTTTTTGCCGTGATGGAAGAGTTCAGTCAGAGCAGACCTCTCTCTCGTGACGCAGGTCGTGTCAGTCACCGGAAACACTGGACTTCTTCTTCTTATCGGCGCTGAGTTTCTGCGTTCTTGCATTTGTGCAGCGGTGACCTTGGATCGGGACAGGCCCACGTCAAGGCTGACCCTGTGTGCGGAGCCGGAGAGGACTTCAGTGACCGTCCATTCAGTTGTTCATGTGTGGAATGAACTGTGACTGAACGGTCTTGTCCTTGTAGATATTGTGTAAACAGCTCACATTATTTTAACCGTCTGTGAAGCAAACATGTTTTTATCTTTCAGGAGACACGATGAAAAACAGCCGCTGTGCTAAATCTGGCATATTTACAGAAATGTTCACTGTCTGTGTATTCAATAAATGCATCAATTCTCTTTATTTACAAGATGTGATAGTTATACAAGTCATACACATATTCTACAAAAGTATGGACAATTATCAACATGTGTTCTATCTATATTCTTTTTGTGTCTTCACTGTTGATTCTCTGATCTGTGTTGGTGATTTCAATGGTTTTTTTAAGTCTCTGAGATGATACTGTTGTGATTTAGGGAAATACAATCCGTTTTTTGAGGATTTTCAAGACCCACAGAATATTATCTGCCATGACTATGTGAAACTTGGAAACTAAATTCTGCAACACTGGATCGTCTCCTTTCATCAGGAAAAATATGTTTGTTTTTAGCTATTTTGGTTGTCCCGTAATCCCCAGTCGAAAAGAGGGAAGTTTGACAGAAATCACCCGTCTCAGACAAATACGTCAATGGGTTAAAGGCCCCCATGATACAATCCCAAACCCATTTCTAAATATTTTACTGTTTCACACGTCCGTACAGTTTCAGTCAGTGCTATTACCAAATACATAGATAGATAAGTACTTTACACAAGGGTCCGAAATTTGTTTTGCTCCATTCAACACAAGCAGGACGTTTAAAGGAGCAGTATGAAAAATGTGGCCAAAAGTGGTACTGCAGCCTCTCCCACTGACTCTGACTCAGGTTGCCAGATATGCAGGCGAATCCAGCTGGGACCATTATGATGTTTCTTACCATTCAGAGTCGGTCCCACTGTCTTGGAGCAGACTCTGAGCAGGTGTCTCAGTCCTGATTTAGCTGTGAAAGAGGCCGCTGTACCACGCTGCGTTACAGATCTGCAGGACTCTGGGGAATGGACAGAAGCTCCGAAAGACCCCAAGCAACGGAGAAAATATATCTTTTGTTTAGATGTTTTACAGATGGAATCAATGTGGTGTTTGCAAGACAGAGAAATGCCTAATACCACACCCAGAAGGCAAATGCTCCCAACACAGACTTTCACTAAGGTTTTATTATAAAGCATATATCATTAATGACACAGATATAAACGTCTTCCTCACGTCCCAAATGGAGAGAACCGTCTGAAGTAGAGTTTGCACGAGAGACCTGAGCCCTTTTGACCTGAGTCCTGCTAATCCTCTAATCCTGCCGTGAGATCACCGTTACCTGCAGAGGTCACCGCCACAGACTCTGCTCGCTCAAACTCTACTTCAACAATTACATTCAGCTCAATTTTTGCATAAAATGGTCTAAATCTAAACGACAGAGATATGTTTTTTGTCCATGATTCTCTCCTGTGTGGTCTAGAGCAGGGCAAACTCAGGCTAAACTGAGAATGAATTGTTGACCACCATTTTCCGATTCAATGTTGTAGACAATGAGACAGTGACAGTTCATATTAAATAAACTTGATCCCTTCCAGTCCAGGTCTGATTTATTTATGGGGCTCAGGTCTCTCTTGAAAAAAATGGGGATGACTCTGCACAGTTTCAGCTGCCAATGGATTTGATTTAATTTAATTTAGCACCACAAGATGAGACGTTTCAGGCACAAACTACCCTTCATCAAACATGAAAAACCCAGAATATACACCTGTATTTGTACAATCAGGTCTCTCTTCTCACTGAATCTATTTCTTTTGACTGCATCAAAAAGTGCCTCACCACAACAAAAAATAAAAGTTGGAGACCTGTTTTTAGGGCCACACAGCTGGTGCAACCTGGTCTCCCATCCAGAGACTGACCAGCCCCTGACCCCTCAATGCCAAGCGGGTCTAACATCGATAAAAATGAATCACATACAAAGCACATGTTGAAACTTTCTCATATCATTTATTGTTAAAAAAAAAAAAAAAAAACAAAAAAAAAAAGGTATACAGGATATTATACAAGATATTTACATTGTGCTGGTATTTGTTAAGAGCACTTCCAAAGCTGGACAAAAATACAGACATTAAAAACTGGTAAAGCTGTTCTGAGAGCGAGGAGCATGTGTTTTTGGTCCTGTTTACACGGAGATGCAGCAAAGCAACCCGCTAAAACGACCAACGACAGAGAGGGAAAAGGATGTAGTTCTAGCTCCTGACCAGTAGGGGGCCGGGGAGCTTTACAACGTGACCTCCACCAGTTTAACCGCTTCCTCAACAACATCCTCCTCAGGCCAAAGAACCAACATCATTCTGGTTTTGTTTGAACGGAGGAGGGCTTTCCGGTCAGGGGGCGCGGCCAAAGAATTAGGGTAAAATCCCGAACTCAAATCCCAAAAAAATAACGGTTACGAACTATCGCAATGGGACCAAATGACCAAGGATGTTGAAGACATTAAAACAGCGATGGATTTTCTCGGTTAAAGAGAATTCCGATGTAAAGAAAAGCCAAGAAACAATATTTCGAGTAGAATTATCTTCCATGAAACGCTAGGACCACACGTAGCATTAGCTTATCCGCCGCCATTGTTGTTTACGTTTGTTCTCGGCTACTGCGCATGTCCAAATGTACGTGGGGGAAGTGGTGAGGTCATTGCAGGCAGAGAATTCACACCTTTTTCTTCATATTGTTCCACTCTGGAGGCCGTTTTTCAAAGCTTGTGGTCTCTCCCGTGAAACACAGACGGCGTGAGAACGAAAGGCCGATCTGAAAGTCAACTCTATCGTCTTACTATCACAGCGTCTCCATGGAAACGGCTCCTAAAATGTCATAGTTCCATGTCTTGGTGGTTTGAGAGTCAAGTTCCCCAGCGTTGTTGCCCCCTAGTGGTTTGAGAGCCTGCTTTCCCAGCTGTATCGCCCCCTAGTGGTTTGAGAGTCCAATTCCCTAGCTGTATCGCCCCCTAGTGGTTTGAGAGTCAAGTTACATGGCAATAAAAAGTATTCTGATTCTGTTCCCCAGCTTTATCGCCCTATGCTGGTTTTAGAGTCCGGTTATGCAGCTATATCGCCCCCTGGTGGTTGCCTGGGCTCAGTGCTTGTCCGCCTGCCGTGTGGGGATGGCCGTGGGGCGGTAGTGCAGGTCGTCGTCAGAGTCGTCGTTGGGCGCGGGCTCCAGGCAGCTCTGGAAGCGCCTCTTCATGCGTTTGCGAAGCTGGAAGGTGCGCTCGGTGTTGGAGTAGGTGAACTCCTGCTCCTTCAGTTTGGCGTAGTAGTCGGAGAACTTGTTGAAGAGGATGGAGATGGGCATTCCGTTCAGGATGATCCCGAACGAGATGCAGCCGAAGGCCACGCAGCGCCCCAGGTACGAGACCGGGACCACGTCACCGTAGCCGACCGTGGAGATGCTCACCTGGACACGAGACAAGACGCACAAATCAGAGAGCACATCACCCCCGTCCTCAAAGTACTCCACTGGGGTCTGTTCCACACCACGTCCAGTACAAGTCTCTCCATAACCTGCCCCTTCATCCTCCATCCTCACTGTCCCACCCTCCACCTCAGACCCTCAGTCTCCAACCTCCTCACTCCCCTCAGGACTAAGCACCGAACCCTGAGGACCGAGTCTGAACCCTGAGGACCGAGACTGAACCCTGAGGACCGAGACTGAACCCTGAGGACCGAGTCTGAACCCTGAGGACCGAGTCTGAACCCTGAGGACCGAGACTGAACCCTGAGGACCGAGACTGAACCCTGAGGACCGAGACTGAACCCTGAGGACCGAGTCTGAACCCTGAGGACCGAGACTGAACCCTGAGGACCGAGTCTGAACCCTGAGGACCGAGACTGAACCCTGAGGACCGAGATTGAACCCTGAGGACCGAGTCTGAACCCTGAGGACCGAGTCTGAACCCTGAGGACCGAGTCTGAACCCTGAGGACCGAGACTGAACCCTGAGGACCGAGACTGAACCCTGAACCCTGAGGACCGAGACTGAATCCTGAGGACCGAGTCTGAACCCTGAGGACCGAGACTGAACCCTGAGGACCGAGACTGAACCCTGAGGACCGAGTTTGAACCTTGTTATTATTATGATCAGTACTAAAAATTAAACTATTATCTTATTTAATACAACTCAGAAAAAAACAAATAAATCACAAGTGAGATTGAGCAGTTTTTGAATGATTTTGATCTGTGTAAAATATTGTGGTTTGTTTGAGTTTGAGTTTATTTATTTAAGTGTCATGCACAAAAGTGCCCAGCCCATATATTGTGGTACTCTAATATATGTTAAAAAAAATATCAAAAAAATTAAATAGTTAGGTTGCTTTCTAACAAAGCTTGCGATTTACAATATCTGTTTAAACTAGTGCTGTCAAACAATTCAAATATTTCATTTCAATTCCTTGCATAAATATCAGAGTTAACGCACAATTAATCGTATATTTCCCCTGATCTAAATGGACGTTTGGGCTGTGGCCTGACACCATGAAAAAATACAGTACTTAAGTAAAGACTATTCTCCTTCAGCAAATCTGACTGGTGCTGCTTTTTGAGAAGAGGAGGCACTATATGAACCATTTTCTGTTTATGGTCAAATCAGTCAAAAATGTCCACCCTTCGTAACCCTAACCCTTTTAAAACACAAATACTACTGACGTTACATAAAAAGACATGAATAATGTCTATAATGCACCAAACTCCCCCCAGTGGTAGAAATAGGACATTACATTCTGCTGTAAATAGATTAAAGGTCCCGTAAGAGACTCCTAAACAAGATTGAGTTATAAATGATAAATGATTTCTAATATTCGGGGTTGGTTCCGGCCACAGCCCCGGCTCCTCGCAGTATTAGCACAGACTTTGATGAGTGTCCTGTGTCCTGAGGGAGCTCGGTCTTACAGAGGATTATTCTCACATCACAGCTGCAATTAAAACACTGTTAATGACACAGAGAGCACGTGACGCAGCCGCTGCTCCAGCCTCCAAACACCACACTGCAGCGACTGTCAATGTTGTATCTGTCACCTCTCCACAGTGGGACTAATGGGGGGGTCAGTAGCTAGCTTTCATCCAGCCCCTTTCAGGTAGCTCCCCAAAGGATGTAGAATTAAACATATGATCTTGAATGGTTCCCTTTTGAGGCAGTACATGTCCATTATAAGTATAGATATAGAGTTAAAACAGCATTATGATATGTGTTTTTCATGTTTTGTCATAATTATTACACAAATTTGTATAATAACCGCAAAAAGGAGTAGCTCTCTGGTGTAATACTACGAAATTAACATTAAAATTCTGTTTTTGTTGTCAGTGAATGAACAGGAACATACAGTTAAATCCTGAAATCACAAAGGCATTATGTGATTCAGTGATACAGTATTTAACCGTTAATATTAGCACATATCACCAGAATGATTGACAGTTGGGAGGACCAATAGTCTCAATGATCCGCCCGGAAGTAGAAAATCCTCCTGTATACCTTTAATTAAGCCGTCTTTTGCAGCGGTCATGAGGTTCCACATTTACAGTTAGTTGGTCTTGTATTGGTCTGACTACGGTGGAGATTTAAGGCAGGGGTCTCCAACCTGTAGCTCGCCAGCCCCTTTCAGGTAGCTCCCCAAAAGGATGTAGATGTAGAATTTAACAAATGATCTTGAATGATTCATTTTGAGTCAATACATATCTAATAATAAGTATAAATATAGAGTTAAACAGCATTATGGTATGTGTTTTTCATGTTTTGTCATAATTATTACACAAATTTGAATGATGACCGCATTAAGGAGTAGCTCTCTGCCTGTTCTGTAGCTCTCTGATTGACAAAGGTTGGAGACCCCTGATGTAAGGTGACGGTGTGGGTGTGTGGGGGTCTCACCGCGGCCCACCACCAGGTCTCGGGGATGCTTCTGAAGGGAGTCCCGGGTTCGTCTCTCTCCACAGAGTGCATCAGAGCAGAGAAGGTGAAGATCCCCATGGCGATGAACAGAAACAGGCAACACACCTACAACCACGAGACAGAGACGGGAACGGCTTATTTACGACAGAATAGACGGATAAATACGAGCACTCAGGTTTTGCACACATCAAACAGGATCAATTTGTATCCATCTTCTTCCCCTTGATCCATTTCTGGGTTGTGGGGGTGGCAGTCAGAGCACCAGCCCCTTCACTGAGTCCACAGGAGGACGGCTGCTCTGTCTGTGTGAGCATAGCCTTGATCTTTCAGTGGGGGCTTCAGGCAAAGTAGGGTTAAGTGTCTTGCCCAAGGACACAACAACAGCAGTGGGAGTCAGTGGAGGTGGAGCCACAACCTTTTGGCTAAACCTACCAACTTGTTCCACTGTTGCTGATGCTGGTTGACATTGTATTTTAGCATCTATCCATCCGTCCATTTTCTTCCGCTTTATCTGTTGCCGGGTTGTGAGGGCAGCAGTCTAAGCAGAGACACCCAGACTTCCCTCTCCACACACTCCAGCTGAATAGTGGTCTCTGCTCCCTATGGACCAATGGCTCCTTTGATTCTCTGATCTGTTGCTGGCGAAATCAACAACTTAGTAAAGTCCTCTGAGACCACACCAGAGGGAGGTGTGTATGTTTCTGTAACATCCAAGACATCATTTTCCATTCTAAAATGTGAAATGTCCGAATATTAACTCAACTCTATGAACATTTTCTTACAGTATAAAATAATATTCTGGTGGTGTGGGAGGAGCTTAGTGCACGGTTGCCAGGTAACATCTCAACATGTCAATTACAAGCAGGAAGTCTGAGAATCTAAGGAATTAAAATGGTCAAATGGGAATGTCTTGGTCTTGGAAGGAGGTGTCAGTCTGTCAGAAGGAGGTGTCAGTCTGTCAGAAGGAGGTGTCAGTCTGTCAGAAGGAGGTGTCAGTCTGTCAGAAGGAGGTGTCAGTCAGTCAGAAGGAGGTGTCAGTCTGTCAGAAGGAGGTGTCAGTCAGTCAGAAGGAGGTGTCAGTCTGTCAGAAGGAGGTGTCAGTCTGTCAGAAAGAGGTGTCAGTCAGTCAGAAGGAGGTGTCAGTCTGTCAGAAGGAGGTGTCAGTCAGTCAGAAGGAGGTGTCAGTCTGTCAGAAGGAGGTGTCAGTCTGTCAGAAAGAGGTGTCAGTCAGTCAGAACAGAAGGAGGTGTCAGTCTGTCAGAAGGAGGTGTCAGTCTGTCAGAAGGAGGTGTCAGTCTGTCAGAAGGAGGTGTCAGTCTGTAAGAAGGAGGTGTCAGTCTGTCAGAAGGAGGTGTCAGTCAGTCAGAAGGAGGTGTCAGTCTGTCAGAAGGAGGTGTCAGTCTGTCAGAAGGAGATGTCAGTCACTCAGAAGGAGGTGTCAGTCTGTCAGAAGGAGGTGTCAGTCTGTCAGAAGGAGGTGTCAGTCTGTCAGAAGGAGGTGTCAGTCTGTCAGAAGGAGGTGTCAGTCTGTCAGAAGGAGATGTCAGTCAGTCAGAAGGAGGTGTCAGTCTGTCAGAAGGAGGTGTCAGTCTGTCAGAAGGAGGTGTCAGTCTGTCAGAAGGAGGTGTCAGTCTGTCAGAAGGAGGTGTCAGTCTGTCAGAAGGAGATGTCAGTCACTCAGAAGGAGGTGTCAGTCTGTCAGAAGGAGGTGTCAGTCTGTCAGAAGGAGGTGTCAGTCTGTCAGAAGGAGGTGTCAGTCTGTCAGAAGGAGATGTCAGTCAGTCAGAAGGAGGTGTCAGTCTGTCAGAAGGAGGTGTCAGTCTGTCAGAAGGAGGTGTCAGTCTGTCAGAAGGAGGTGTCAGTCTGTCAGAAGGAGGTGTCAGTCTGTCAGAAGGAGGTGTCAGTCTGTCAGAAAGAGGTGTCAGTCAGTCAGAAGGAGGTGTCAGTCTGTCAGATGGAGATGTCAGTCTGTCAGAAGGAGGTGTCAGTCAGTCAGAAGGAGGTGTCAGTCTGTCAGAAGGAGGTGTCAGTCAGTCAGAAGGAGGTGTCAGTCAGTCAGAAGGAGGTGTCAGTCTGTCAGAAGGAGGTGTCAGTCAGTCAGAAGGAGGTGTCAGTCTGTCAGAAGGAGGTGTCAGTCTGTCAGAAGGAGGTGTCAGTCTGTCAGAAGGAGGTGTCAGTCTGTCAGAAGGAGGTGTCAGTCTGTCAGAAGGAGGTGTCAGTCTGTCAGAAGGAGGTGTCAGTCTGTCAGAAGGAGGTGTCAGTCTGTCAGAAGGAGATGTCAGTCAGTCAGAAGGAGGTGTCAGTCTGTCAGAAGGAGGTGTCAGTCTGTCAGAAGGAGGTGTCAGTCTGTCAGAAGGAGGTGTCAGTCTGTCAGAAGGAGGTGTCAGTCTGTCAGAAAGAGGTGTCAGTCAGTCAGAACAGAAGGAGGTGTCAGTCTGTCAGAAGGAGGTGTCAGTCTGTCAGAAGGAGGTGTCAGTCTGTCAGAAGGAGGTGTCAGTCAGTCAGAAGGAGGTGTCAGTCTGTCAGAAGGAGGTGTCAGTCTGTCAGAAGGAGGTGTCAGTCAGTCAGAAGGAGGTGTCAGTCTGTCAGAAGGAGGTGTCAGTCAGTCAGAAGGAGGTGTCAGTCTGTCAGAAGGAGGTGTCAGTCTGTCAGAAGGAGGTGTCAGTCTGTCAGAAGGAGGTGTCAGTCTGTCAGAAGGAGGTGTCAGTCTGTCAGAAGGAGGGTCAGTCAGTCAGAAGGAGGTGTCAGTCAGTCAGAAGGAGGTGTCAGTCAGTCAGAAGGAGGTGTCAGTCAGTCAGAAGGAGGTGTCAGTCAGTCAGAAGGAGGTGTCAGTCAGTCAGAAGGAGGTGTCAGTCAGTCAGAAGGAGGTGTCAGTCTGTCAGAAGGAGGTGTCAGTCTGTCAGAAGGAAGAGTGTCAGTCAGTCAGAAGGAGGTGTCAGTCTGTCAGAAGGAGGTGTCAGTCAGTCAGAAGGAGGTGTCAGTCGTCAGAAGGAGGTGTCAGTCTGTCAGAAGGAGTTCAGTCGTCAGAAGGAGTGTCAGTCTGTCAGAAGGAGGTGTCAGTCTGTCAGAGTCGGAGGAGTGTCAGTCTGTCAGAAGGAGGTGTCAGTCAGTCAGTCAGTCGTCAGAGAGTGTCGTCGTAGGAGAGTGTCAGTCAAGAAGGAGGTGTCAGTCGTCAGAAGGAGGTGTCAGTCTGTCAGAAGGAGGTGTCAGTCTGTCAGAAGAGGTGTCGTCAGTCGTCAGAAGGAGGTCAGTCTGTCAGAAGGAGGTGTCAGTCGTCAGAAGGAGGTGTCAGTCGTCAGTCAAGAAGGAGGTGTCAGTCTGTCAGTCTGTCAGGAGGTGTCAGTCTGTCAGAAGGAGGTGTCAGTCTGTCAGAAGGAGGTGTCAGTCTGTCAGAAGGAGATGTCAGTCGTCAAGAAGGAGGTGTCAGTCAGTCAGAAGGAGGTGTCAGTCTGTCAGAAGGAGGTGTCAGTCTGTCAGAAGGAGGTGTCAGTCTGTCAGAAGGAGGTGTCAGTCTGTCAGAAGGAGGTGTCAGTCTGTCAGAAGGAGGTGTCAGTCTGTCAGAAGGAGGTGTCAGTCTGTCAGAAGGAGATGTCAGTCAGTCAGAAGGAGGTGTCAGTCAGTCAGAAGGAGGTGTCAGTCTGTCAGAAGGAGGTGTCAGTCAGTCAGAAGGAGGTGTCAGTCGTCAGAAGGAGGTGTCAGTCAGTCAGAGAGTTCAGTCGTCAGAAGGAGGTGCAGTCAGTCTGTCAGAAGGAGGTGTCAGTCTGTCAGAAAGAGGTGTCAGTCAGTCAGAAGGAGGTGTCAGTCAGTCAGAAGGAGATGTCAGTCAGTCAGAAGGAGGTGTCAGTCTGTCAGAAGGAGGTGTCAGTCAGTCAGAAGGAGGTGTCAGTCAGTCAGAAGGAGGTGTCAGTCTGTCAGAAGGAGGTGTCAGTCAGTCAGAAGGAGGTGTCAGTCTGTCAGAAGGAGGTGTCAGTCTGTCAGAAGGAGGTGTCAGTCTGTCAGAAGGAGGTGTCAGTCTGTCAGAAGGAGGTGTCAGTCTGTCAGAAGGAGATGTCAGTCAGTCAGAAGGAGGTGTCAGTCTGTCAGAAGGAGGTGTCAGTCTGTCAGAAGGAGGTGTCAGTCTGTCAGAAGGAGGTGTCAGTCTGTCAGAAGGAGGTGTCAGTCTGTCAGAAAGAGGTGTCAGTCAGTCAGTCAGACAGAAGGAGGTGTCAGTCTGTCAGAAGGAGGTGTCAGTCTGTCAGAAGGAGGTGTCAGTCTGTCAGAAGGAGGTGTCAGTCAGTCAGAAGGAGGTGTCAGTCTGTCAGAAGGAGGTGTCAGTCTGTCAGAAGGAGGTGTCAGTCAGTCAGAAGGAGGTGTCAGTCTGTCAGAAGGAGGTGTCAGTCAGTCAGAAGGAGGTGTCAGTCTGTCAGAAGGAGGTGTCAGTCTGTCAGAAGGAGGTGTCAGTCAGTCAGAAGGAGGTGTCAGTCAGTCAGAAGGAGATGTCAGTCAGTCAGAAGGAGGTGTCAGTCTGTCAGAAGGAGGTGTCAGTCTGTCAGAAGGAGGTGTCAGTCTGTCAGAAGGAGGTGTCAGTCTGTCAGAAGGAGGTGTCAGTCTGTCAGAAGGAGGTGTCAGTCTGTCAGAAAGAGGTGTCAGTCAGTCAGAAGGAGGTGTCAGTCTGTCAGAAGGAGGTGTCAGTCTGTCAGAAGGAGGTGTCAGTCTGTCAGAAGGAGGTGTCAGTCTGTCAGAAGGAGGTGTCAGTCTGTCAGAAGGAGGTGTCAGTCTGTCAGAAGGAGGTGTCAGTCTGTCAGAAGGAGATGTCAGTCAGTCAGAAGGAGGTGTCAGTCTGTCAGAAGGAGGTGTCAGTCTGTCAGAAGGAGGTGTCAGTCTGTCAGAAGGAGGTGTCAGTCTGTCAGAAGGAGGTGTCAGTCTGTCAGAAGGAGGTGTCAGTCTGTCAGAAGGAGGTGTCAGTCAGTCAGAAGGAGGTGTCAGTCTGTCAGAAGGAGATGTCAGTCTGTCAGAAGGAGGTGTCAGTCTGTCAGAAGGAGGTGTCAGTCAGTCAGAAGGAGGTGTCAGTCAGTCAGAAGGAGGTGTCAGTCTGTCAGAAGGAGGTGTCAGTCTGTCAGAAGGAGGTGTCAGTCTGTCAGAAGGAGATGTCAGTCAGTCAGAAGGAGGTGTCAGTCTGTCAGAAGGAGGTGTCAGTCTGTCAGAAGGAGGTGTCAGTCAGTCAGAAGGAGGTGTCAGTCTGTCAGAAGGAGGTGTCAGTCTGTCAGAAGGAGGTGTCAGTCAGTCAGAAGGAGGTGTCAGTCAGTCAGAAGTAGGTGTCAGTCTGTCAGAAGGAGGTGTCAGTCTGTCAGAAGGAGGTGTCAGTCTGTCAGAAGGAGGTGTCAGTCTGTCAGAAGGAGATGTCAGTCAGTCAGAAGGAGGTGTCAGTCTGTCAGAAGGAGGTGTCAGTCTGTCAGAAGGAGGTGTCAGTCTGTCAGAAGGAGGTGTCAGTCTGTCAGAAGGAGGTGTCAGTCTGTCAGAAGGAGGTGTCAGTCTGTCAGAAAGAGGTGTCAGTCAGTCAGAACAGAAGGAGGTGTCAGTCTGTCAGAAGGAGGTGTCAGTCTGTCAGAAGGAGGTGTCAGTCTGTCAGAAGGAGGTGTCAGTCAGTCAGAAGGAGGTGTCAGTCTGTCAGAAGGAGGTGTCAGTCTGTCAGAAGGAGGTGTCAGTCAGTCAGAAGGAGGTGTCAGTCTGTCAGAAGGAGGTGTCAGTCAGTCAGAAGGAGGTGTCAGTCTGTCAGAAGGAGGTGTCAGTCTGTCAGAAGGAGGTGTCAGTCAGTCAGAAGGAGGTGTCAGTCAGTCAGAAGGAGATGTCAGTCAGTCAGTCAGAAGGAGGTGTCAGTCTGTCAGAAGGAGGTGTCAGTCTGTCAGAAGGAGGTGTCAGTCTGTCAGAAGGAGGTGTCAGTCTGTCAGAAGGAGGTGTCAGTCTGTCAGAAGGAGGTGTCAGTCTGTCAGAAAGAGGTGTCAGTCAGTCAGAAGGAGGTGTCAGTCTGTCAGAAGGAGGTGTCAGTCTGTCAGAAGGAGGTGTCAGTCTGTCAGAAGGAGGTGTCAGTCTGTCAGAAGGAGGTGTCAGTCTGTCAGAAGGAGGTGTCAGTCTGTCAGAAGGAGGTGTCAGTCTGTCAGAAGGAGATGTCAGTCAGTCAGAAGGAGGTGTCAGTCTGTCAGAAGGAGGTGTCAGTCTGTCAGAAGGAGGTGTCAGTCTGTCAGAAGGAGGTGTCAGTCTGTCAGAAGGAGGTGTCAGTCTGTCAGAAGGAGGTGTCAGTCAGTCAGAAGGAGGTGTCAGTCTGTCAGAAGGAGATGTCAGTCTGTCAGAAGGAGGTGTCAGTCTGTCAGAAGGAGGTGTCAGTCAGTCAGAAGGAGGTGTCAGTCAGTCAGAAGGAGGTGTCAGTCTGTCAGAAGGAGGTGTCAGTCTGTCAGAAGGAGGTGTCAGTCTGTCAGAAGGAGATGTCAGTCAGTCAGAAGGAGGTGTCAGTCTGTCAGAAGGAGGTGTCAGTCTGTCAGAAGGAGGTGTCAGTCAGTCAGAAGGAGGTGTCAGTCTGTCAGAAGGAGGTGTCAGTCTGTCAGAAGGAGGTGTCAGTCAGTCAGAAGGAGGTGTCAGTCAGTCAGAAGTAGGTGTCAGTCTGTCAGAAGGAGGTGTCAGTCTGTCAGAAGGAGGTGTCAGTCTGTCAGAAGGAGGTGTCAGTCTGTCAGAAGGAGGTGTCAGTCAGTCAGAAGGAGGTGTCAGTCAGTCAGAAGGAGGTGTCAGTCTGTCAGAAGGAGGTGTCAGTCTGTCAGAAGGAGGTGTCAGTCTGTCAGAAGGAGGTGTCAGTCTGTCAGAAGGAGGTGTCAGTCTGTAAGAAGGAGATGTCAGTCACTCAGAAGGAGGTGTCAGTCAGTCAGAAGGAGGTGTCAGTCTGTCAGAAGGAGGTGTCAGTCTGTCAGAAGGAGGTGTCAGTCAGTCAGAAGGAGGTGTCAGTCTGTCAGAAGGAGGTGTCAGTCTGTCAGAAGGAGGTGTCAGTCACTCAGAAGGAGGTGTCAGTCTGTCAGAAGGAGGTGTCAGTCTGTCAGAAGGAGGTGTCAGTCTGTCAGAAGGAGGTGTCAGTCTGTCAGAAGGAGGTGTCAGTCTGTAAGAAGGAGATGTCAGTCACTCAGAAGGAGGTGTCAGTCTGTCAGAAGGAGGTGTCAGTCTGTCAGAAGGAGGTGTCAGTCTGTCAGAAGGAGGTGTCAGTCAGTCAGAAGAGCCACTCTGCGATTACGTAAAGAGGTCAGTGATGTTGCCAAGTCAGCGGTGAGCAGGAAGTATTTGGCCCACGTTCAAAAGACACGTAATGGTTCTTTCCTTCTCAGCCCCATCAAGATCGAGTCTCATGTGAGCATAACCAGAGAGATATGACATTGACATTTCTAACAGCTTCTTTGTGAGAGACCCCCCCAAGAGCCAAAAAGCAATTAAACTGTTATTTTTTTTGCCAATGGGAACTTTGTCCAATGCATTTGACCCATCCTGCAGTGTCACTGGGGCGTCTGTCAGTAGCAGTGGGTGCATAGTACAGCGTCAATCAATCATAATGTATTTGTACAGCACAGTTCATACAATAGTTGCACTTAATTACAACTATTAGTAACTTTTAAGATAAGATAAGATAAGATAAACCTTTATTAGTCTCACAGTGGAGAAATTTCAGTGTCATCGTTGCACATTACAGCAGAGAAAGGAAATAAGAGCACTCAGATTGCACACAAGATAATAGACAATAAATTTAAGAATAAAATAAAATAAAATAAAATAAGAAAATCTGGGCTACAATTGCACTTGGTTCGGAGATCTTAGTGCTTATGTTTTGTATGAATTTCTCCTACAGGGATCAATAGAGTATCGACCTATCTCGTGGTTTACAATAGCGACATTTAAAAAACAGTTTAAAACATCCGGATCCACACTGGAGCTGTTGGTGCTCGGCTTGGTCAGGACCAGAGCTGGAGGATTGGGGCCTACTGGGCATGTTTGTAGAGGTAGAGGAAACCGGAGCACCAGGAGGAAGTCCACGCAGACACATGGAGAACATACAAAACTCCACTCCGAAAGACCCTTTTTCGAACTCGGATCAAACCTAGGATCTTTTTGCTGAGGAACTACTGTGGCAAATGGAAATCTTTGCATAATTCGACTCATCCTCACCAAAATAAGGCTAAAATCTGCAACAATTTTCTTGAAAATGTGAGACAGGGCCCTTCTCTGACCATGTTTAAATCCAGGTTAAAAACATACTGTGATTATTCATGATTTTAATGCTATCTTGATTTGTTCAGCACTTTGAGTTGCCTTGTGTACGAATTGTGCTATACAGATAAATGTGCCTTGCCATTCATTTATTCTCACCTGTTCAGAACACTGTCGGAGGGTGAACCCGAACGCCCTCATTCCCGTCGAGTGCCGCGCCAACTTCAGAATGCGGAAGATCCTCATCAGCTTGACCACCTTGAGAACTTTGCTGACTTTGCTGACCCTGGCCATGGTCTTCAGGTCCTCCTGCTGGCTGGCGTCCTCCGAGTCCACGAAGAACGTCTCAAACATGATCTGCAGGAAGTACGGCATCACCGCCACCAAATCCACGAAGTTCAAGGCGCTCTTCACGAACTGCTTGATGTTGGGCGTGGTCATCAGCCGCAGGAAGTACTCCACGGTGAAGAAGAGTATGGACGAGATCTCGATCCACTCCATGTAGGTCTTGCCGGCTAGCTTGTAATCACGCAGCTCTTTGACGGTGTTCATGGTCATGGCCACGATGGAGATGAGCACGAAGAGGCTGGAGAAGACGGCGAAGGCTTTGGCCGTGAGCGAGGAGTAAGGGTTCTCCATCAGGTCCCACAGGATCTTGCGGGGGCCTCCCAGGAACATGGTCTTGTAGACGCCTTCCTCCTGGTGCGGCTTGATCTCGGCGATGAGCTCCTGGTTGACCTTCAGCTTCTCGCGGATGTCGTCCAGTTTCTCTTCGAACAGAATGCGGCAACATCTGGGATCAGCAGAGAGAGGAGTGAGGATCATCAGTGATCAGCAGAGAGAGGAGTGAGGATCATCAGTGATCAGCAGAGAGAGGAGTGAGGATCATCAGGGATCAGCAGAGAGAGGAGTGAGGATCATCAGTGATCAGCAGAGAGAGGAGTGAGGGTCATCAGGGATCAGCAGAGAGAGGAGTGAGGGTCATCAGTGATCAGCAGAGAGAGGAGTGAGGGTCATCAGTGATCAGCAGAGAGAGGAGTGAGGATCATCAGGGATCAGCAGAGAGAGGAGTGAGGGTCATCAGTGATCAGCAGAGAGAGGAGTGAGGGTCATCAGTGATCAGCAGAGAGAGGAGTGAGGATCATCAGGGATCAGCAGAGAGAGGAGTGAGGATCATCAGTGAACGCAGATGCAGTTTTTTAAAGCTCAATACCAAACGTAACCACTTAATATGTTTTGTTTGCCCGCAACAACTATGATATTTTTGTCCATAACTCTAACATATTACTGCTAACACGTACAGATGTAAACATACTACTGCTAACACATACAGATGTAAACATACTGCTGCTAATGTACAGATGTAAACATACTGCTGCTAACACGTACAGATGTAAACATACTGCTGCTAACACGTACAGATGTAAACATACTGCTGCTAACACGTACAGATGTAAACATACTGCTGCTAACACGTACAGATGTAAACATACTGCTGCTAACACATACAGATGTAAACATACTGCTGCTAACATGTACAGATGTAAACATACTGCTGCTAACACGTACAGATGTAAACATACTGCTGCTAACACGTACAGATGTAAACATACTGCTGCTAACACGTACAGATGTAAACACACTGCTGCTAACACGTACAGATGTAAACATACTGCTGCTAACACGTACAGATGTAAACATACTGCTGCTAACACGTACAGATGTAAACATACTGCTGCTAACACGTACAGATGTAAACATACTGCTGCTAACACGTACAGATGTAAACATACTGCTGCTAACACGTACAGATGTAAACATACTGCTGCTAACACGTACAGATGTAAACATACTGCTGCTAACACGTACAGATGTAAACATACTGCTGCTAACATGTACAGATGTAAACATACTGCTGCTAACACGTACAGATGTAAACATACTGCTGCTAACATGTACAGATGCTAACACGTACAGATGTAAACATACAATTATAATGTTCAAGAAAAAGATGTTATACTTGTTCTTTGATGCTAGAGTTAGAGATTTTAATTAGTACAGCTATTGTTTCTTTCCTACTGTTCTGTAACTTGTAATGCAACACTGAAATCTCCCCACTGTGGGACAAATAAAGGCTCTCTCAATCTTTATCTCATTTAATCATTTTCATGATTTTTAGCGTTCGTCTGGATATGGATTTTGTAGAAAAAGCTGTTATTCCAGTTCCAGCGTCTGGCTATGGTCTCATTCTTTTCTCATATAAAAACATACGCCACATGTCGGTCATTAGAAGGACTTTTATATTTTTATCTTTCTTTTTAATGTTCTGTGATTATTTATGATTTTAATGCTTTCTTGTTTTGTTCAGCACTTTGAATTGCCTTGTGTATGAATTGTGCTATACAAATAATCTTGCCTTGCCTTGCCTAGAAGGACTTTCACACACAGCAATAATACGGCAGGTTTGTGAATCTTTTGGGTTATGGTCTATCTATTTTTTCTTTTCCAAAATCTTTTCAAAAATCCCTTCTTTCCCGTGTTTTGTATTGTCCAAAAATACTGAAATACAATTACACATTTCAAACAGTAACAATAAAATAAGTCATATATTGCTCGTGTTTGACAAAATGCTCTTTAATTTGGGCGCATTTAAACAAGATTTTGTCAATGGGACAAGCTAAATAATCTTGTTTTAAAGAGATACAAGAAATGTCTCCCATGGAATCAGAAAATAAAGCAATATTAAGACTAAAAGGCTTTGTCCCATTGGAAAATCAGTCGGAATGTGCTCAAATGAACTCCTTGACTGCCAGCCGTTTTTGATGAATTCACTCATTTTAAAGACCCACAGAATATTATGTGCTATGACTATGTGAAATATGAAACCAGATTCTGAAAGATTGGACTGTCTACTTTCAGCAGCAAAAATAAGTTTGTCTCTAGCTAGTTTTGTTTACCTGTAATCGGCAGTCGAAAAGAGGGTCTCAGATAAATACGTCAATGGTAGTCAAAGAGTTAAGATAGAAACCACTCGCGATGATGACCTCATTTTTGATCTTTTTTTTTTGCAGCGTACAACATCAACACAACTCTTCGACATTGAGATTTCGAGTCCCACCTCGGCGTGTCCTTGAGCCTTAACCCCCAGAACGACAGCTCCTCCTCGAAGTTGACGGAACAGAGGCTATCCATCACCCACAGCACGTTACTGCAGTAAAAGTGGAATATGTAATGGAAGAACATCGGGTCTCGGTCAAAGAAAAACTCGTTGTTCTGGACGTTGTAGTCGTCACATAGCGTTAGCTTCTTCACCGGGTCTTCGCACATCGCCAACCTTCCGATACGACTTTTCGGATACCTCAGAACCAAATGTTTAGGAATATGAAACACTTTCCCGCCTATGTTCAAGTTCACGATCCCGGGATTCCATTGAGGCGGTTTCTTTGTCTTTTCCCCGTTGTCCAAGTTGTCCATAGAAGTCCACGGTTTGACGGAACTCTCTTGCGAAAACGGGAAGTCCGGCGTTTGGTCATCGCTCGACGTGAAGCTAAAATCGCGTTTTATGGACGTGAAAAGACTGGACCGCCGCTTCTTCAGCATCTTGAGGGAGGGCCTTATGGAACCCGACATTTTGAAAAATTGGTAGAACGCCCAACTGGACCAAATCGCAGTTCCAAAACAGTTCCGATAGTTCACGTCAGCATATCGCAAACAACAATGAAAGTCGTATGAAAAGCAACAGTCTTGATGTAGTGCTAGTCCGTTGGTAAGCGAGGAGATCAAGAGCTGGAGCCTCCTCGCTGATTCTCTAATCCTATTGCTGGCCTTTCTGTCCGAACGCAAGTTAAAAATACTGTTCACTGGGATTAGCACTGTGATTTAAGGCTTTGAGTCAAGAGAGAGTGCTGAGATGACAGAGCGGCGTGCTAACGGGGAAACGCTAAGCTGAGCACGGGGTCAGAATGCTAACGCTAACCTGACGGAGCAGACACCTGTGGAATTTAGTTATGGCCCTGAATCACAACATTAGTTTTCTCTGGGGACTTTTCAAGGCTTTTGATTTACCAACACAGATCAGAGAATTAAAAAGTTCAAAAACAATAAATGCAATGATGAAAACACATTTGTCCACAAGGGGCAGATGACCAATACCCAAACATGTCCTTAACAATTAATAACTTGGACTCGTGCTGCAACATAAGTTATAATTGTTAATTTTCTGTAAACAAATTTAAAAGAAGCCGTTTATTGTTAGGCTCAAGTTGTTAACATTCAAATGAACATTTTTCTACATGTTCTTCTTCATCAGAGTCAAAATCAGAATCTTTTTTTTTGTCATGTGAGTAACAGGAAGTCACAAACTATAGGAAATTGCTTTGGATCTCGGTGCAAACAAATTAAGGCAGAATTAAAGCAAGAAGGCATTTTTTATAATACTTTAGTTAGAGATTGTATACTTGCTTTAGTTAGAGATTGTATACTTGCTTTAGTTAGAGATTGTATACTTGCTTTAGTTAGAGATTGTATACTTGCTTTAGTTAGAGATTGTATACTTGCTTAAGTAGAGATTGTATACTTGCTTAAGTAGAGATTGTATACTTGCTTAAGTAGAGATTGTATACTTGCTTAAGTAGAGATTGTATACTTGCTTTAGTTAGAGATTGTATACTTGCTTAAGTAGAGATTGTATACTTGCTTAAGTTAGAGATTGTATACTTGCTTAAGTTAGAGATTGTATACTTGCTTTAGTTAGAGATTGTATACTTGCTTTAGTTAGAGATTGTATACTTGCTTCAGTTAGAGATTGTATACTTGCTTTAGTTAGAGATTGTATACTTGCTTCAGTTAGAGATTGTATACTTGCTTCAGTTAGAGATTGTATACTTGCTTCAGTTAGAGATTGTATACTTGCTTTAGTTAGAGATTGTATACTTGCTTCAGTTAGAGATTGTATACTTGCTTTAGTTAGAGATTGTATACTTGCTTTAGTTAGAGATTGTATACTTGCTTTAGTTAGAGATTGTATACTTGCTTAAGTAGAGATTGTATACTTGCTTAAGTTAGAGATTGTATACTTGCTTAAGTTAGAGATTGTATACTTGCTTTAGTTAGAGATTGTATACTTGCTTTAGTTAGAGATTGTATACTTGCTTCAGTTAGAGATTGTATACTTGCTTTAGTTAGAGATTGTATACTTGCTTCAGTTAGAGATTGTATACTTGCTTCAGTTAGAGATTGTATACTTGCTTCAGTTAGAGATTGTATACTTGCTTTAGTTAGAGATTGTATACTTGCTTCAGTTAGAGATTGTATACTTGCTTTAGTTAGAGATTGTATACTTGCTTTAGTTAGAGATTGTATACTTGCTTTAGTTAGAGATTGTATACTTGCTTAAGTTAGAGATTGTATACTTGCTTAAGTTAGAGATTGTATACTTGCTTTAGTTAGAGATTGTATACTTGCTTCAGTTAGAGATTGTATACTTGCTTTAGTTAGAGATTGTATACTTGCTTCAGTTAGAGATTGTATACTTGCTTTAGTTAGAGATTGTATACTTGCTTTAGTTAGAGATTGTATACTTGCTTTAGTTAGAGATTGTATACTTGCTTTAGTTAGAGATTGTATACTTGCTTAAGTAGAGATTGTATACTTGCTTAAGTTAGAGATTGTATACTTGCTTAAGTTAGAGATTGTATACTTGCTTTAGTTAGAGATTGTATACTTGCTTTAGTTAGAGATTGTATACTTGCTTCAGTTAGAGATTGTATACTTGCTTTAGTTAGAGATTGTATACTTGCTTCAGTTAGAGATTGTATACTTGCTTCAGTTAGAGATTGTATACTTGCTTCAGTTAGAGATTGTATACTTGCTTAAGTTAGAGATTGTATACTTGCTTTAGTTAGAGATTGTATACTTGCTTTAGTTAGAGATTGTATACTTGCTTCAGTTAGAGATTGTATACTTGCTTAAGTAGAGATTGTATACTTGCTTAAGTTAGAGATTGTATACTTGCTTAAGTTAGAGATTGTATACTTGCTTTAGTTAGAGATTGTATACTTGCTTTAGTTAGAGATTGTATACTTGCTTCAGTTAGAGATTGTATACTTGCTTTAGTTAGAGATTGTATACTTGCTTCAGTTAGAGATTGTATACTTGCTTCAGTTAGAGATTGTATACTTGCTTCAGTTAGAGATTGTATACTTGCTTTAGTTAGAGATTGTATACTTGCTTCAGTTAGAGATTGTATACTTGCTTTAGTTAGAGATTGTATACTTGCTTTAGTTAGAGATTGTATACTTGCTTTAGTTAGAGATTGTATACTTGCTTAAGTTAGAGATTGTATACTTGCTTAAGTTAGAGATTGTATACTTGCTTTAGTTAGAGATTGTATACTTGCTTCAGTTAGAGATTGTATACTTGCTTTAGTTAGAGATTGTATACTTGCTTCAGTTAGAGATTGTATACTTGCTTTAGTTAGAGATTGTATACTTGCTTTAGTTAGAGATTGTATACTTGCTTTAGTTAGAGATTGTATACTTGCTTTAGTTAGAGATTGTATACTTGCTTAAGTAGAGATTGTATACTTGCTTAAGTTAGAGATTGTATACTTGCTTAAGTTAGAGATTGTATACTTGCTTTAGTTAGAGATTGTATACTTGCTTTAGTTAGAGATTGTATACTTGCTTCAGTTAGAGATTGTATACTTGCTTTAGTTAGAGATTGTATACTTGCTTCAGTTAGAGATTGTATACTTGCTTCAGTTAGAGATTGTATACTTGCTTCAGTTAGAGATTGTATACTTGCTTAAGTTAGAGATTGTATACTTGCTTTAGTTAGAGATTGTATACTTGCTTTAGTTAGAGATTGTATACTTGCTTTAGTTAGAGATTGTATACTTGCTTAAGTTAGAGATTGTATACTTGCTTTAGTTAGAGATTGTATACTTGCTTAAGTTAGAGATTGTATACTTGCTTTAGTTAGAGATTGTATACTTGCTTCAGTTAGAGATTGTATACTTGCTTAAGTTAGAGATTGTATACTTGCTTTAGTTAGAGATTGTATACTTGCTTCAGTTAGAGATTGTATACTTGCTTTAGTTAGAGATTGTATACTTGCTTCAGTTAGAGATTGTATACTTGCTTTAGTTAGAGATTGTATACTTGTATTTTCACATCTTAAAGTGAGAGATAAATATACTTTATATATACTATAATATAGTTTCTTTCTTATGCTAAAGTTTGAGGTTTTATATTTGCTGTGTGCTCCTCATTTCTGCTGTTCTGTAACTGGAGATGCAACACTGACATTTCCCCTCTGTGGGGCGATTATAAATGATTGTTTCAATCTTATTGTGTAACCGGAAACGGCCCTCTCGTCTGTGTTGAGCTTTTATTTTGAAGGCTGCTGCTTATATCCGGCTCGGGGACCACGTGACTTCCTTTCCGATCTACGCTTCAACATGGACGCCAGCCGCGTGCAGCCGATCAAGCTCGCCAGAGTAAGAAACCTGTCGATCTGCGGTGTTTTTGTCCTCCTGTGCTGTTTGTGAGTTTGTAAGCGTGTCCTGTGTCCGTGTCGCGGCCAAAGGGGTGTCTCTGCTCCGGGTTTAAGTCTCATAAACGCGCGGTGTCGTGTGTCTTCATCATGGAGGCTCTTCACGCTTCCTCCGCTAGCATTAGCATTAGCTCTCAGGCTAACAGCTGAAGCATGCTAACTGTATGTTTGGTATCATATCTGTGAACGAGGATCTGATGTAAGTGTTTTGTGAATTACAGGTGACCAGAGTCTTGGGCAGAACCGGTTCCCAGGGACAGTGCACACAGGTGAGGCCCGCACTGTGACCCGGAGATGGAGCTAATCATACTAATCATGCTAATACTGTACACATCCTGAAGCTTGGAATGACTCTGAAGACAATCGGTCCTTACAGTTATTAGCCTGATCCTAATTTGTTCCTTCAAAAGACTTAGACTAAATCTGAACGACCTCATTTTTGAAACATTTGTGCAGTTGTTAGTCCCAAGTTTATTTTTGAAGAAACATGTGAACTAATACCACAACGTGCTGTTTATTTAAAATACTATAAACTATAGATTGAACAGAAGCTGAAAATAAAGTTTTGTAAGTAGGGAATTGGTTACATGTATCTGAGTAGTTTAAACGGTTTTAATCCAGACATTAATTGGTACATTCCGTGTGGCGTATTTTTCTTCAGAGTTGATGATATTCAACATTTGTATGAGCATTGTATTTTCTAAACATTTAAAGTTAAGTTCCAGTTAATCTCTCGGGTGTATTAGTTTTACTTTGTCTTTTTTTGTTGACAATTTATGGGTTGGATTAACTTTAGTGGGATTTTTAACATACCTGGTATTTTAATAATTTCCAGTTAAGTTTGAGATTCTTTAAAATATCCATAATTCAAACTTGCTTAGGTATGTATGTGGTGTTTTAGACCAGGAAATGGGTGACCTTCCATTGGGTCCACATGAGAAGCCTGTGTGGGGCTGTATCTCTGTATAATCACATTTTCAGATCCAGCTTTTGTTAACTTTCTGCTTCAGGTCCGTGTGGAGTTTATGGATGACAGCAACAGAACCATCATCAGGAACGTGAAGGGCCCAGTGCGAGAGGGAGATGTCCTCACCCTGCTGGAGTCTGAGAGAGAGGCCAGGAGGCTGCGATAGGTGAGGGGGGAGGCCAGGCGGGTGAGATAGGTGAGAGGGGGAGGCCAGGAGGCTGCGATAGGTGAGGGGGGAGGCCAGGAGGCTGCGATAGGTGAGGGGGGGGAGGCCAGGAGGCTGCGATAGGTGAGAGGGGGAGGCCAGGAGGCTGCGATAGGTGAGGGGGGGGAGGCCAGGAGGCTGCGATAGGTGAGAGGGGGAGGCCAGGCGGCTGCGATGGGTGAGAGGGGGAGGCCAGGCGGCTGCGATGGGTGAGAGGGGGGAGGCCAGGAGGCTGCGATAGGTGAGAGGGGGAGGCCAGGAGACTGCGATGGGTGAGAGGGGGGAGGCCAGGAGGCTGCGATGGGTGAGAGGGGGAGGCCAGGAGGCTGCGATGGGTGAGAGGGGGAGGCCAGGAGGCTGCGATAGGTGAGGGGGGGGGAGGCCAGGAGGCTGCGATGGGTGAGAGGGGGAGGCCAGGAGGCTGCGATGGGTGAGAGGGGGAGGCCAGGAGGCTGCGATGGGTGAGAGGGGGAGGCCAGGCGGCTGCGATGGGTGAGAGGGGGGAGGCCAGGAGGCTGCGATGGGTGAGAGGGGGAGGCCAGGCGCCTGCGATGGGTGAGAGGGGGAGGCCAGGCGGCTGCGATGGGTGAGAGGGGGGAGGCCAGGCGGCTGCGATGGGTGAGAGGGGGAGGCCAGGCGGCTGCGATGGGTGAGAGGGGGAGGCCAGGCGGCTGCGATGGGTGAGAGGGGGGAGGCCAGGAGGCTGCGATGGGTGAGAGGGGGAGGCCAGGCGGCTGCGATGGGTGAGGGGGGGAGGCCAGGAGGCTGCGATGGGTGAGAGGGGGGAGGCCAGGCGGCTGCGATGGGTGAGAGGGGGAGGCCAGGAGGCTGCGATGGGTGAGAGGGGGGAGGCCAGGAGGCTGCGATAGGTGAGAGGGGGAGGCCAGGCGGCTGCGATGGGTGAGAGGGGGAGGCCAGGCGCCTGCGATGGGTGAGAGGGGGGAGGCCAGGAGGCTGCGATAGGTGAGAGGGGGAGGCCAGGCGGCTGCGATGGGTGAGAGGGGGAGGCCAGGCGGGTGAGATAGGTGAGAGGGGGAGGCCAGGAGGCTGCGATGGGTGAGGGGGGGAGGCCAGGCGGGTGAGATAGGTGAGAGGGGGAGGCCAGGAGGCTGCGATGGGTGAGAGGGGGGAGGCCAGGAGGCTGCGATGGGTGAGAGGGGGAGGCCAGGCGCCTGCGATGGGTGAGGGGGGAGGCCAGGCGGGTGAGATAGGTGAGAGGGGGAGGCTGCGATGGGTGAGGGGGGGAGGCCAGGCGGGTGAGATAGGTGAGAGGAGGAGGCTGCGATGGGTGAGAGGGGGGAGGCCAGGAGACTGCGATAGGTGAGAGGGGGAGGCCAGGAGACTGCGATAGGTGAGAGGGGGGAGGCCAGGAGGCTGCGATAGGTGAGAGGGGGAGGCCAGGCGGCTGCGATGGGTGAGAGGGGGGAGGCCAGGAGACTGCGATAGGTGAGAGGGGGGAGGCCAGGAGACTGCGATAGGTGAGAGGGGGAGGCTGCGATAGGTGAGAGGGGGAGGCCAGGAGGCTGCGATGGGTGAGAGGGGGGAGGCTGCGATGGGTGAGAGGGGGAGGCCAGGCGGGTGAGAGGGGGAGGCCAGGAGGCTGCGATAGGTGAGAGGGGGAGGCCAGGCGGCTGCGATGGGTGAGAGGGGGAGGCCAGGAGGCTGCGATAGGTGAGAGGGGGAGGCCAGGAGGCTGCGATGGGTGAGAGGGGGAGGCCAGGAGGCTGCGATGGGTGAGAGGGGGAGGCCAGGAGGCTGCGATGGGTGAGAGGGGGAGGCCAGGCGGGTGAGATAGGTGAGAGGAGGGGGAGGCTGCGATAGGTGAGAGGGGGAGGCCAGGAGGCTGCGATGGGTGAGGGTGTGTGGTTTGAGAAAACTGCGGAGAACTTTGAACTTAAAACAAACGTATACACTTTCAGTATACAGCCCCCTAGAATGTGGGGCCTTGAACCAAGCGCCGCAGCAGGACCTTTAATGTTGGGTTTTCTCTCGAGGATTTGCTGCATTTTCACTCAGTCTCACCGATCAATGCGACTGAGACTCTGAGTCACTTAAATTAAATCTTTATCACATGAAATAAATCTTACACCTGTTGCGAGAACAAGCACGATTCAACTAATGCAAGACTTAAATGAGAATTGGGTGAATTGTTTTGCTCAACTTCGCATAAATCTACCTCACGTTAAAGCTGAGATTAATTTCTAGTCCGCGGAAAAGTAGATTGGAGCAGGTTTAAAGCGCTTAACTTGACCAGAACATTTACATTTGTTGGATTTATATATATTTTGACGCCGCACTGACAGGCCGACTCAGAGTGCATCATGGTCTTCTTGTGTTCAGCGAGATCTTGACTCTCCTGTCTCCAGGTTCCTGAAGCCGCAGCTGTGGAGCAGAAGTCTTCGGTCGCAGTGGTCTTCATCTCGTTTGGTTAAAATGTTTTGAAAAATAAATGGAGGAAACACAAATGTGTCCTGTTTCAATCTGAGGGTTTTTAGGCGCAGTGTTTGTCCACCAGGGGGCAGTAGTGCTCCATTGTGTTGGAGCCAGTGCCTGTTTTTTCAACCAGGGGCTAGTATTGAGTTAAATTCATATCTTTTACTATCTCTACATTTGCCTTTAACCTCTTAAGGATCACCCTCCCTGTACAGGGAGGATTCAGTTATTTTTCATTTAACAGCATCAGTATTAGAATTCACTTGTGTCAATATAGTCAAGCTATATCTCTTTTGAAAGCTTATTCCCACCTCTAAACGCGTATTATGTTCAAATAAACATTAAATATAACCAAAATTAAGAATAAGTAGTCTAACTGTATATATATTTAAAATATATATTGTCCTTTCTTACCTTGTCATGCTAATATTCTGGGGCAAATCACGTCTAATCCACACATGTGTGCATTCGTTTTGTTCTTTAGGGTCTAGAGAATAATTATATCCAGTTGTTTTTTCTTCAAAGTCATCCTTATAGTAGATATCCACTTGCAACAACATATTTGAGCATTGAAAGTTGCACAAACAAAAACAAAACCTGTTCTTTGCGCACTGTATGAAGAGGACATTTTACTGTTTAGCTAGCGTCACTGGGTATGTTCGTCTTCCCCTAAGCCTCCCCTTCAAAACAAGCCCATTCCCGGACTTTTCAGTACTATGGTTTGGAAGGTAGAGTAAGTTGAGTAAAACAAGCGCACCTAGCTTTAGCGCTCCATTCACATAGATATCTGTGCGTCACGACAGCATTGTCTTGACTACCATTGGCCGATTTGGATGTCAATCAAATCATCTTGTAGCCAATAATCTCAGGTTTCAGGCGATGTGTCGGACTTCAAGGTTCCTCCCACTGTTCCCGTCATATTTGAATGCGTAAAGAGGAAGACGGAGCCTTTTTCACGGAGAACACGCGCTATTGAGAATGAGGAGTTGACGTCACGGCACAGAGTCCCCCCTCCCCATCCCCCCTTTGCCGACATATTGGCTGCGCACCGGTGGCGGCAGTACAGTTTGTTTACGTGTGTTGTGAACGCGGTAGTAGCGGAGGTTCTTGCTATTCCGCACTGTTTTATCATGCCTGGAAATAACTGCTGCGTTAAAAACTGCTCCAATACCTCCCACGATGGATATGGAAAACCTAGTAACAACGGGATACAGTTTTTTAGGTTACCGAAATGGAAAAAGCATCAAGGGGAGCAATTCTCTGACCTGACAAGGAGACGTCGGATTGCTTGGTTGGCTGCAATTAGAAGAAAGGACCTTACTTTCGATCACACACCCCTGTCGACGAGAGTGTGTTATCTGCATTTTCACTCTGGTACGTTCTCTAAAAATGTATTTATGTAGTTGTCTCTTAAAGCTAGGAAGTGTAAGTTAGCATATGTTATTATGGTTTCTGTAGTGCCTTTGTCTCTGTGTCTTTGTTACCCTCTCAGGCTGTTTCTTACTTAGCACGTGTTCTGCGAGGTCTTAGCCAGTGTAAAGCATAGATTACATAGATTGTACACATAATCTAATTATTCTGTTGTACATAAACCTTCATATGACATTATGAGGTGACCTAAAAAGTACTTGAGATGCTGTTCATGACATAGTTGCCAGTTTAAAGCATTGATTACATAGATTGTGCAAATTATTATATTAATTATATGTTGTTATTATTCTCGTGTAGGTAAACCAGCATATGAGATGTTGGAGAACCACCCTGACTGGACACCATCCCTGTTGTTAGGCCACAATGATGTACAAAAAACAGATGAAGCGAGATATCAGCGGCAAGTAAGGCGCAGGTCCCTGCCACTGGAGCGGCAGCCACCTCCAGCCCAACACCAGCCGCAGGCGCCGCCGCCTCCAGCCCTAGACCAGCTGCAGCCGCCACCAGCCCTAGACCAGCTGCAGCCGCCACCAGCCCTAGACCAGCCGCAGGCGCCGCCGCCACCAGCCCTAGACCAGCCGCAGGCGCCGCCGCCGCCAGCCCTAGACCAGCCGCAGGCGCCGCCGCCGCCAGCCCTAGACCAGCCGCCAGCTGACCCGGACATGGAATGTGGACTCTCCACATCTAGACGAGATGTTATCAACAATCTTCTTGAAGAAAACAGACAGCTGAAGCGTGAGCTTGATACGTACCGGATGAATGAGAACTTTCTGAGTGGTGATGATAACACAGTGAAGTATTACACGGGGCTTCCAAACTTTGCATTGTTCCAGACACTTCTACTCTACCTAACTCCAGATCTGCCTCAAGGTAGAATGAAGAAGCTCTCACCCTTCCAGCTTGTCCTATTGACTTTAATGCGCCTCAGACTGGACCTTCCAATACAGCACCTCAGCCATCTGTTTAGAGTACATAGGACAACAGTCGCCGATGCCTTTCACCATACCCTTGGTGTGATGTACGCACAGCTGTGTCCATTGGTGCACTGGCCAAGTAGGGAATGCTTATTGACCAGTATGCCACACCAGTTTGTGGAGTCATTTGGGAACAATGTGGCTGCCATTGTGGACTGCTTCGAGGTGTTCATCGAGAAACCTTCCAATGTACTAGCAAGGGCACAGACTTTTTCTCAATACAAACACGCATACACTATGAAATACCTAATCGTGATCACGCCCCAGGGTGTAATTTCCTTCATATCGAACGGGTGGGGTGGGCGCACAAGCGACAAGCATATAACCGAGCAAAGTGGTTTCCTGAACAAGCTGTTACCAGGTGACATTGTGCTGGCAGATAGAGGCTTTAATATAAGAGAACATGTGGGCATGATGTGTGCTGAAGTGAAAATACCTACATTCACCAGGGGTCGTGCTCAGCTTGAGGCGAAAGATGTGGAGGAGACTAGGGCCATAGCACATCTCAGAATTCACGTGGAGAGGGTGATCGGTGTTGTGCGCAACAAATTCAAATTCTTACACTCAACTGTACCTGTGCACATGCTTGTCAAATGTGAGGGTGAAAACCTAATGCCTTTGGATAAGATTGTCATTGTTTGCTGTGCCTTAACGAACATGTGCAAAAGTGTTGTTTGAGTACCTTATTCTTTACTGTATCTTTTATTTTTAAATAAATGCATGAAACAACTTGATATGGTTTACCAATATTTATTGAGAAATGAATATTTTTTTTGTTACAAACGTGTGCATTCAAAGTACTGTTTCCAGCATGTAAACATGCACAGCATAGGCAAAAATGATCATAAGAGTCATACTTTTCTTAGTGCAAAGGGACACAAAACACTGCAAAACAACGTGTGCATTCAAAGTACTGTTTCCAGCATGTAAACATGCACAGCATAGGCAAAAATGTACGGTCCCTTCTCTTTCGCCTTATCTCTAAGCATTGTTTTACTGTCTTCCTTTCCCTTGTTGTATCAGTAGATCCGTCTCTGTCTCGCCGAAAACGTAAATGCGTATATAGTGCTCTGGAATATGAGGAGCGCGTGAAATTCTGGGGGCGTGCCCCCGTTGCGCAGCCAATATGTCCGACAGGCTCAGAGCCCCCCCCAAATCACCCCAACTCGGCACGTGACTCCTCATTCTCAATAACTATATAAATAATAGCTTTTCTGCAAACCTTTCAATAACTGGAAAAAATTCTATTTATAGCAAGAGTAATAGCCAAAAAATTATATAAATGGATTTTTGATGTAAAAACATTGATAATTTGCATGTAAAACACTTTGGCACAGTTGGCACAAAAATGGACCACTTGTGCCGAATGTGCCCATTAGTTACAAAAAAGCCCCCAGCATCAAAATAGTTCCACCTAAAGGTCTAAAATTTCATATAGGTGTTTCCAACACCACAAACATCTGATCTGGTGAGTTTGAACATCATACCATAAAGTATGTCTTCAAGAGAACCTTTTGAAATTGCCTTTTATTTTTTTTGACAAAAAAAACTAACTTTGACTCATGTTTGAGAAGCTGTAGTGCAGACTGTGTCCTTCCTAACAAACTGTAACATACATTTTCAGAAACTAGAAGGTTTTACCTTTCAAAGGAGGCCTCATAACACAAAATCAGACACAAGATGTCCACACAATAAGCATTTCCATTTGGGTATCATAATTCGAGAAGGAGCAGGCGAAATTAGGTGATCCTTAAAGGGTTAAAACTTAAAAGGACTAAAATGCAAAAGTCTACAAAATGTGTATTGAGTTTTCCAGCTCTGTTTGGGTCGAGCAGGTAATTTAGTACCCAATTTAGGCTATTTCCTCCTTATAGTCTGCTGGTGGGTCATTTGGACCCGAGGATTACACAAACTGTTAATTTTGAAGACTAAATGAGGCCATAACTCATGATGAAACAGGAAATGCAAAGATAAACAGCCATTGATCCATAAGGAGCGGATGATCAATGTCCTGGAAAGGTTTGATTAACATTTAACTTTGAAGATGGGATGCCTAACTTTTGTGAAAGTGGAACAAAAATATGGATCCGCAACTTTCTGAAAAGCACCTTGAGCCACTTCGACTTTTTGGCTGGGAGCTCACTTTTTTGTCGGAAGAAATTGATCCAAAAATGTAACGGGCCAAAAACGTGTGAAAACTAGAGCCAGGACCGAGTGAGAGAAATACATGTTGGTGAATGTTCTGTGCTTTAAAAGTTAGGTCCCCGAGCTTTAGACCACTCTGCTGCTGTGGTCCACTTTGAGTCTTGTCCAGACCGTGGCCCACTTTGATCTTGAGCCGATTTCCTTCAAACGGCTCCAGAATAAAATCTGCTTTGTTTTAGTTTCACACTTATGTAAATCTGATGAAACTCTGGTCCAAATATAGTGTTTTTTTAAACGCTGTAGGATTTGGTTTAAAGGTCGCAGGAACTTGTCCAGATTCCGGACCACGGCGTGTTTGAACAGGAACAGGTCATGTGTGTTTTTGTGTCAAAGACTTTCCAACTTTGACCGACTTTAAACTCTGGGATCTTTGCTTTAAAAATATAACTACTGAATATACTTTGGTCTAGTGCTGGGACCTGCAGGTAGAAGCCAGATCCTGTCAGACCTCTGCAGCCAAGCAGGGCAGTGCCTGGTTAGTTCTGTGATGGGAGACCTGGTGCCACAGTGGGGCGGCTGTAAAGTGCCAAACTGTGGCTGTGTCCTTAGGCAAGACACTTCCCCCACATTAGAATGAGGTTGGTGTGTGAGTGGTTGGTGGTGGTGGGAGGGGCTGATGGCACAGACTGGTTGCCTCGCTTCTGTCAGTTTGCCTCAGGGCAGTTGTAGTACTTGCAGTACTTCATCAACAGTGTTTGGAGTGAAAGAATAATAACGTGCAGCATCTTTGAGTGTCCAGAAAATCTCTATTTAAGGGCGTTGGCTCCAGCTCGCGCATGTTTCTTCTTCTTCTTGGTCTTTAAGGATTTAGACAAACACTGCGGTCAAAGGTTCCAGAGTTTGCGTCGCTGTGTCAGATTATAAATAGATGAAAGACGCATATTTAAGCCACAAAACACCAGTTGCTAATGAGTTACCCTAAAGCTAACCCACATGGGGGAGTTCGTTGTTAGTCAGAAGGCCCGACGCGGCATATCCCTGTACATCAGGCTTGTCCAAACTCAGGCCTGGGGGCCAAATGCGGCCCTCAGTATAATTTTATGTGGCCCTCTGCCTCGCTAACCCAAACTGGTCCAACTTCAGCTCAGTCATAGACCTCGTTCTAAAGCCCAGTACGTCGTTGACTTTGCACTCACTGTACTGACGTGGTTTTGATTGTGTCACTTCTGTTAATGGTGCGGCTGTAGCTGGTGTGATGGTAAACATTATCATTCAGCCAACTTCAGCTCTGTTATAGATCATCTTAAAGCTCAGAACAGCCCGTGATCCCTGGACTAGTCTGGTGAAACTTAACTAATTTTTATTTAAACGTCAAGAATGCCTCGGATGTTCCTCATTTCTTTTCAATATAAACGTGAGCTCAGAGCCATAAAAGCGTTGCAGAAATACCTCCGGTCGTAGACGGGTAAACAACTTATTTGCGCCTGTGTTTTTCAGACTGTAAAAATTTCTCGTATCTCAGAAAAGTGAAGGTTTCTGTGTTTTTCTCATGAATGGGAAAAGCTGTAAACATGTTTATCTGCAGAGACTCCGCCCTCACAGCAACATGAGACAAGGAGGTCAAGGCCCGGCTGGAGAAGACTGCATCTGCACCAGGATATATTTACCCAGAGGAAGTACGTTTAGACACGTAACCATTCGCACGAGTGTGTAGTCGGTGTGATGCACGGTTAATGAGCCGTTTTCACAAATTCAATTCTATGTCTTTTTGTCTCGCCCTAAATCAGTGCAGTGGTTTTGACACAAGATTTCATTTAAATTCAAGGTAAATTAAATCCAATGTATAAAATTACATAAAATCCATTAATACATTTTGCATTAAAACAATAAAATAGTTAAATTAGCATTAAAAAAGTGAGTGAGTGATAAAAGTGTTAAAAGTCAGTCTGAATAAATACGTTTTGAGCCTCGATTTAAAAAGGCTCTCACTGACTTTGGTCAGTGAGAGCGGGCATGTCAGGGGGCGGCTTGTGACCCGGGGGCGGCTTGTGACCCGGGGGCGGCTTGTGACCCGGGGGCGGCTTGTGACCCGGGGGCGGCTTGTGACCCGGGGGCGGCTTGTTCCAGAGTCTGGGTCCAGGACTGAGAAGGACCGGTCTCCACAGTGTTTGGACCTAATCCTTGGTACTTCCAGGAGGAGCTGAGTTAAGGACCTCAGTGAGTCAAAAGTCCGGACAAGTCCAGAGGCCGAGACCATTGAGAATTATGAAGCTGTGAAGGGCAGGACCTGGTTAGTACTGTGATGGGAGACCTCTGGGAACAGCAGGAGCCACAGTGGGGCGGCTGCGGCTGTAAAGTGCCAAACTGTGGCTGTGTCCTTAGGCAAGACACTTCCCCCACATTAGAATGAGTCTGGTGTGTGTGTAGTTGCCTCGCTTCTGTCAGTGTGCCTCAGGGCAGCTGTGGCTCCAGTTTATCATAACTGTGTATGGAGTAAAAGAATGACATGTCTTATAGAGTTTCCTGAAAAACGCTGTAAAAAACCATTTCATTATTAACATTATTATTATTATATTAAGTATAATATACCCACCAAACCCAAACTTACCCAACCAAACTCATTCACATATTCTGTTCTTAGTCTAGTCCTAATCATCATCATCATAATATTTAATAAGTTTAACCTTTTACAAAACTAAGTGGGACTAAACAGCAACACAATTAGAATCTATAGTCATTAAACTAGGAACAGAAACCATTAAGATATATACACAAGAATTGCAGGATGAAGGGTTTTTGTGGCAAATAGCTGGGGGCCTGGGGTCTTGTGTTCGCCCCGGGGCCTCAGGGGTCCTTGAGGTGGCCCTGTTGATATTGTACAAATCCAAACACGAGCTTCCAGTTGGTGAACGATACAGACTTTCTCTTTCATTCCTCGTGCTGCTGTTTTGGAAAATCTGCAGGAAAAGCCAATTTAGGGCAATAACAAAACCTCACATCATTAAAAGTTAGAACCTACGGCGTCCTGGAGGAGCCAAACCACCGCAGAAAGTGTAGAAAGTTTGCAAACGTTGTTAACATTCTCGGGAACCGCAAACTTCCACCAGAACCGCAATTACAGCTTTTCGTTCTGGAGAAAGCAGTGAGACGACTTGTTTGATTCTAACTTTGGGCTTGAGTTAGTGATTCTGAAGTTGTAGTTTAACTTCTGGAATTTTCTCTGTTTGGACAAGAATCAGGAGTTTGGTTTTTCAAAGTCGACCAAGAAACTTTCCACAGTCAGCAGGAGCCAAAAGCAGTGCCTGTGTTTGAGAGAGAGAGAGAGACTCAGGATCATTTCTAAACCACAGTGATTCAAAATACACTCAATTAAAACAAAATCAAACTGAATTTTGATTTTTTTTTCCAAACTTGACCAGACCAGGGTCATTTATATTCTTTTAGGCTTTAATTTAGGGTAATATTCATTTTGACTTGAGGGTTAAACAAAGGCTGATCTCTCCCTGGTCTCTCTCTCTCTCTATTCTCTCTCTCTCTCTCTGGTCTCTCTCTCTGGTCTCTCTCTGGTCTCTCTCTCTGGTCTCTCTCTCTCTCTCTGGTCTCTTTCTCTCTCTCTGGTCTCTCTCTCTCTATTCTCTCTCTCTCTCTCTGGTCTCTTTCTCTCTCTCTGGTCTCTCTCTCTGGTCTCTCTCTGGTCTCTTTCTCTATCTCTGGTCTCTTTCTCTATCTCTGGTCTCTCTCTCTGGTCTCTCTCTCTGGTCTCTCTCTGGTCTCTCTCTCTGGTCTCTCTCTGGTCTCTTTCTCTATCTCTGGTCTCTTTCTCTATCTCTGGTCTCTTTCTCTCTCTCTGGTCTCTCACAGCCCACTGTTCTCTTTTAAAAATAACCTTAACTTTCTTTAGCAAAAATGAAAAATGATGAAGTAATACAACATGTCTCTGTACTCTACTGTATGTCATGGTCTGTCCCTGTGCTCCCTCTGGCCCTGTGCTCCCTCTGTCCCTGTGCTCCCTCTGGCCCTGTGCTCCCTCTGTTCCTGTGCTCCCTCTGGCCCTGCGCTCCCTCTGGCCCTGTGCTCCCTCTGTCCCTGTGCTCCCTCTGTCCCTGTGCTCCCTCTGTCCCTGTGCTCCCTCTGTCCCTGTGCTCCCTCTGGCCCTGTGCTCCCTCTGTCCCTGTGCTCCCTCTGGCCCTGTGCTCCCTCTGTCCCTGTGCTCCCTCTGGCCCTGTGCTCCCTCTGGCCCTGTGCTCCCTCTGGCCCTGTGCTCCCTCTGGCCCTGTGCTCCCTCTGGCCCTGTGCTCCCTCTGGCCCTGTGCTCCCTCTCTTCTGCAGGTGGAGAGAGGGCGTGTAGATGGTTCGCCGCTCTCCGTCTTTGCTGATGTTGTTGAAACAGAAAGTATTTCCAACATGTCTGTGCTGCAGTCGTATTTGCGTCTCTAAACAAGTCTATAAGTAACCGGTGCCAAGGCCTCTGCAAAAACATCTTGAAGACATGGGAGAGAGAGAGGGGGGGGGAAGAGACCAGAGAGAGAGGGGGGGGGAGACCAGAGGGGGAGAGAGAGAGAGAGAGGGGGCGAGACCAGAGAGAGAGAGAGAGGGGGGGGGGGGGGGGGGGGACCAGAGGGGGAGAGAGAGAGAGAGAGAGAGGGGGCGAGACCAGAGAGAGAGGGGGGGGACCAGAGGGGGAGAGAGAGAGAGAGCGGGAGAGAGAGAGATATGCTACGAAAGACATCACACAAGGACGATAGATACATAGATAGATAGAGAGATAGATAGATACAGTAGATAGATAGCGAGATAGATAGAGAGATAGATAGATACAGTAGATAGATAGCGAGATAGATAGAGAGATAGATAGATACAGTAGATAGATAGATAGAGAGATAGATAGAGAGATAGATAGATGTCTCCAATTTGTGTCAGTTTTCCTGTGGGAGGGGCCACTCACAGCCAATCATAGCCTCAGCACAAGTTACAATGTATTTATCTAATAGGAAAGATACATAATGTCAGTGCATAGATTTAATATTCTGCCTTTTGTCCGTACACTTAGCCCATATTGCTGAATCTGGGGAGAGAGAAAGGGTGGTCAGAGGGTCAAGAGACGCCACCGCCATGCAAGTCAGTCTGTCTCGGGGCAACTGTGGCTACTACAAACAGCACTGAATGTGAAGTGAAAATGAAAACTAAAAAGTACGAGACAAAGCAGAACGGTAAAAGATGAGATTAGAGTGAGACCAGAGAGAGATTTCCACCAGAGCTTCACACAGGAGCAGCACATGGGGATAGATTTGGAGTTCAGCTTGATCCATGGGGTTTGCTGGTGTCACATACTTGGACCATGGGTGTGTTGTACTTGATCCATGGGGTTTGCTGGTGTCACATACTTGGACCATGGGTGTGTTGTACTTGATCATAGTTCCATGTTCCGCACGCACAAAGGGAGTCACGAAAGGTTCTCCGACACTCAATACATAAAAGTGATTTATTCAGCTCCAACTTTGCAGCCGAGAAACTCTGACAGATGCCAAAAGCTTGAGCAATCGCATCATAACTCACTACACGCTACACACAACACTACACACTACACTACACACAACACTACACACTACACTACACACAACACACTACACTACACTACACACTACACACAACACACTACAATACACACTACACTACACACTACACTACACACATCACACTACACTACACACTACACTACACACAACAATACACACTACATTGCACTACACTACACACTACATGGGAAACACAGGAGCCCAGGACAGAGCAGAGGAGCAGGAGCTGGGTCTGTCCTAGGTCTGTCCTGGTCCTGGGTCTGTCCTGAGTCTCTCCTGGGTCTGTCCTGGGTCTGTCCTGAGTCTCTCCTGGGTCTCTCCTGGGTCTGTCCTGGGTCTGTCCTGGTCCTGGATCTGTCCTGGTCTTGAGTCTGTCCTGGTCCCGGGTCTGTCCTGGTCCCGGATCTGTCCTGGTTCTGGGTCTGTCCTGGTCCTGGGTCTGTCCTGGTCCTGGATCTGTCCTGGTCCTGGATCTGTCCTGGTCCTGGGTCTGTCCTGGTCCTGGGTCTGTCCTGGTTCTGGGTCTGTCTTTGGTCTCTCCTGGGTCTCTCCTGGGTCTGTCCTGGGTCTGTCCTGGGTCTGTCCTGGTCCTGGATCTGTCCTGGTCTTGAGTCTGTCCTGGTCCTGGGTCTGTCCTGGTCCTGGGTCTGTCCTGGTTCTGGGTCTGTCCTGGTAGTAGTAGTAGTAATCTTTATTTATATACCGCCTTTTCACTGCACATCGGAGTCTCAAAGCGGTTTACAATTGTTATTTTTGGGAGTGGGGGTGCCAGAACAGGAGGCACATGCCAGACCTATTGTACATATTTTTAGTGGTAGGGGAAACCGGAGCACCCGGAGGAAACCTACGCAGACACGGGGAGAACATGCAAACTCCACTCAGAAAGGCCCTGGTCCAACCGGGATTTGAACCCAGGACCTTCTTGCTGAGAGGCGAGAGTGCTATCCACTCAGCCACCGTGCTGCCCACTGGTCCTGGGTCTGTCCTGGTCCTGGATCTGTCCTGGTCCTGGATCTGTCCTGGTCCTGGGTCTGTCCTGGTCCTGGGTCTGTCCTGGTTCTGGGTCTGTCTTTGGTCTCTCCTGGGTCTCTCCTGGGTCTATCCTGGGTCTGTCCTGGTCCTGGGTCTATCCTGGTCCTTAGTCTCTCCTGGGTCTGTCCTGGTCTTGGGTCTCTCCTTGCTTTGTGCTGGAGCTGGACCCGCTGCCTTTGGAGCACACGTGTTGGTAAGCAGACCCCCAGGCTGGTGTGGAGGTGACTGGATCTGTAGCCAGGTCATGGAGCCTCCAGGGGGACCGTCCTGGCAGGTCGCCGGGGCCCGTGGTGCATGCTGGGAGAGGGTTACTCCCAGTCACTCACCCTGAGGTCAGTCTCTGGTGCACGGAGAGAATGTGCTTTGGCCGACTTCGTACTTTTAACAAATGTGTTTCATGAGTCACGACAGTTCAACTCTAGGACTCCATAGATCTGAAACGTCTGAACCTGGAAAACTAACGTGGACAAAAGTAAACTAGAATCTGTGGAACAATTCTGTAAATCTCCATAATCATATTTGTAAATGAGAGACGTGTCATAGTGTGGATTTTATTTTTGTACTTTATGTTTTATTTTGACTTCAGTGACTTGCCCCGCCCTGATATCTTTCACCTGTGACCCGGGATTTGAACGAGAGACTTCAAAAATCCACAGCGACTAAACTAGACTGGTCCAGAACACTCCCTCAGCATTGACACACATGTGGAACGGAGCTTTGGGCCAAGAGACGAATTTTGGACCATCCTGTAAAGACGTTTTTGAGAGGTCTGCTAACGCTATATGTTAGCATTGGCTAATTCTTCTTCCGGGTCCACCCCCCCAGGCCCGGGGTGGTATTGCAGCACGTCAGCGCACGTCATTTTGGCCACTTTTGAGCTGGGACCTGCCCACACTGTTTTGGGTCCTCTTTCATTTCACCTCACGACAAGACCATAGTGGATTCTTTTGGTCACTAAAGTCCTAATGAGTGAATAATCAACATATATAATAATAATAATAACAATAGTGCACCACCAACCATTCACACACACACCAGACTCATTCTACTGTGGGTGAAGTGTCTTGCCCAAGGACACAACAACATCCCAAGGACACAAGTCATCAGTGAGAGTCAGTGGAGAAAGTCTTGTGGTGGACTCAAACCCACAACCTTCAGGCTCAAAGGCCAATGCTCTACCAACTGAGCCACTGTCGCCCCAAAACAGATTCAATACAAGTGAAGATCATTAAAGTGCTTTGTTCAGACTCAGAGCAGCTAAAATAAGCTGTTAGCATGTTAGCATATCCAGATGTCCTGCGCCTCAGCCAACGATATGTTCTGCCAGAGGGAAGAAGCTGGAACACGGCTTTCCAGGGTCCAGAGGAGTCAGTGATAACAGACTCAGTCCTCTCCAACGATCATGTGACTGCTCCTGACCGTGTCCTCGCTGCTACACACTGATTGAACTTGAGCAGCTGGACTCGCCACACGAAGCCCCGCCCCCTGCTGTGCCTACACTACCCACAATCCCCTGCGGCACCAGTGCAAACAACAGCTGCAGCGACACAAACCGGGCCAGAGCAGAACAAAACATATTTAGATTTACGAGTGTGATGGAAAGAGTTTTACCGTCTGGGAGACTGTGGCGTTAGGACTGGCCTCTGCAGGTGTGATTGTAATAATGTTTTTTTTACATAATAATAATAATAATTCATGATTTTTATAACACTTTTATGGACACTCAAAGACACTTCACATGTCATTATTCATTCACTTTGTACACAGTGGTGTTACAATACTTCTGTGGCCACAGGCGGTGCTGGGGAGGAGGAGGGTTGCTGCACGAATGAAATCTTGATGCAGGGCAGTACATGAACGCCGCTGTCTTATGATGAAAACAATGGAAAATTGTTAACGTTTGTGTAGAACTATCGTTACTTTTGTTAAAACCTTTTGTGGCTTGTGCGTGTATTTATTTACTTAGTTTAGGCCATGTCCACACATAGCTGGGTCTTTTTTAAACCGAATATTTCCCCCCTCTGTTTATAAAAGAAATTGTAACCACACTCCGTTTTTTAAATAAAACTCCTCCATACATAACCGAACATCTGCGTTTTCAATCACATTCATAAACTTCCAAACGCGTCCTCTGACGTCCTGCGTTGGGGGGAAACAGAGAAGTGGGCGGAGCTTTGATGCTGACGCCGGTACTTCTGTAGCAGCACTTATTTACAGTCAAAGAAGAAACTCAGAGTAAAGACATGTTCACAAGCACTGACCCCCGTCCTCAGCCCTGGTTTAGTCCTGGTTTAGTCCGTCCTCAGCCCTGGTTTAGTCCTGGTTTAATCCGTCCTCATCCCTGGTTTAGTCCTGGTTTAATCCGTCCTCAGCCCTTGTTTAGTCCTGGTTTAATCCGTCCTCAGCCCTTGTTTAGTCCTGGTTTAATCCGTCCTCAGCCCTGGTTTAGTCCTGGTTTAATCCGTCCTCAGCCCTTGTTTAGTCCTGGTTTAATCCGTCCTCAGCCCTTGTTTAGTCCTGGTTTAATCCGTCCTCAGCCCTGGTTTAGTCCTGGTTTAATCCGTCCTCAGCCCTTGTTTAATCCTGGTTTAATCCGTCCTCAGCCCTGGTTTAATCCTGGTTTAATCCGTCCTCAGCCCTGGTTTAATCCTGGTTTAATCCGTCCTCAGCCCTTGTTTAGTCCTGGTTCAGCTCCTGTTTTGGAGCGTGAGTCCCGTGACCACTTTGCTGCTCTCTGATGTGGAGCGAGGATGTTCATCTCTTGCTTTCGCTGCATCTCGCCGCTGAACCCACCGCTGCTGCGCCGCTGAACCCACCGCTGCTGCGCCGCTGCTGGATCCGGTGGAACCACAGTTGTCACTCCATGCTTCCTTTGCTGTTGTTTTGGCGCATACGTGCAAAAACACAAAACTCCAGTTACCTGTCTACACGCAAATGGATAAACAGTTTTCAAAAATCTTCATGTCATGTGGATGACAGCTGCAAACGAAGAAAAATATCTGCGGTTCAGCAGATACCCGGCTACGTGTGGACGGGGCCTTAAACTGGTCGAATCCACAGACTCCCCCAGATCAAACCTGTGACATATTCAAACTTAAATAGTACATTTCATTTTGTCATTTTGTCAAGAGATATTACTGGAATGAGCCCTATGAGTTACTGTCTCTTTGTACTGGGAGCTGATTGGCTGAGTGAGAATGATCTAACAAAATACATACAAATGCGAAAACTAGTGACAAAACCAAAAACTAATAATGTTTTTTGATTAGGGTTGATTTCTATTCAAAATACATTGAAGTTAATCCTGTTTTCGTGATTTGAAATGGTCCATGCTATGTCCCCTTTAATGTCACACTGTAAACCATTCCCTTCCTGCTGCCGTGAGCTGCTTCCAATAACTCAAAATAGACCATCTCCAGTATTTCCCTGAGCTGTTAAACATATTTAGGCCTCAATATCCTTCTGCGGATGAGTCCCAGGTCGGATTCTTACTGTAAATAACATCTCTAGTGTCTGGGGATCCTCCTTTGCATCTGTTTTTACTGTACATTCCAGGATCTTTCAGAGGGGTCCGTCTGCAGCAGGCCCCGGAGACGGAGGAGCCCGTGCTTTTGGCCTCTGTGGTGGAAGCGTTTTGCTAATTAAACCGGTTTCCCATGCAGTGATTGGGCCCCTGCGACGCGTTCAAAGCCTCACGCTGTTCCCCGAAGAGCCGCTTCAGGGGTCAGAGCGGCGGCCTTCGTGCTGAGGGCAGGGCTTTACGTTACTGCAGGGACGACAGATGATGTTTGGATTCGTGCGCTCGGTCCTGGGAAACAACTCTGGAAAGATAATAAGGATGAGAACGTGCTTTAGATCAGTGTTCCCCAACCTTTTTTGAGCCGTGGAACACCTTTCTCTTTGTCAACAATCACACTGCACAACACCTGTAGCCTTTATAAACATGTGTCATTCTCTTTAAAGAGTGTGTTTATATAGAAAATCAATCAAAGTCGCTCTAAAGTTCTCTTCCTCTTACTTTTCACTGTGTTTTGATCAATTAGGTGATACTGGATCATTTACAAACGCACCACGGCACCATAGACTGTAAATATTAACGGATGTAGTCACGCCTATCTCCACCTTTCTTTTACCTTCTATGGGCAGTTTCAAAATGGCCGCGGGACAGGAAAATGTGACAAAACGAGCCCCATTCATTTAAACGAGTGCATTCATGATAAAGCTGTTTCAACTACAGTTGAACCTGATGAAATCTCACACTACAAAGAGACAAAGTTAATCTTTTACTTGTTACATTGTACAAGGAGAATGTCTTGACAGAGGCAAGGCACAGACCCTAGCCTCTCTCAGGACAAGTCTGAAGATTCACAGTCTGCAAGCCCCTTTTGGTAGAACAAGACACACCTTCGTATGCAGATGGGAAAGGAAGAAACCAACACAACAAAAGACATATGAGCTCCCCAGACCTCCCGGAGTTTTGCTGGAGCTAAAGTGAATTACAATACAGAGCATTCAGCATATAGCCACATATGATTTATCAAAATGATAACTTAAGTTACATTCCAATATCAATTCAAAATTCCACAGCGGCTAAACTAGACTGGTCCAAAAAAAACACCCCCCTCAGCATTGACACACATGTGGAACGGAGCTTTGGGCCAAGAGCCAACTTTTAGACCATCCTGTAAAGACGTTTTCCAGAGGTAAGAAGATACGTACATTAGCATTGAATAATTCTTGTTCTGGGTCCACCCCCATTGGCCCGGGGTGGTACTGCAGCATTTGGGACATTTTTGAGCCAGCACCCACCCCCACTGCGCGACACACCAACGTACCACGGCACACTAGTTGAAAAACACGGCTTTAGATTATGCGTTTACAAAGTACATACGAATATTCAATGTATTTTTGTACAGTTCTACAGCAGTAGTTTTCTTGGAGGTCTTGAATGAAGAGATCCACTCCCACATATGGACCGACTGTAGATCCAGGACTCAGGCTGTAGAACGAACACAGGACTGAAACAGCTCCGACATTCAAATATGTTCAAAAACCAAATTGGTGAATTATAAAACAGGTCTGAGGAGGTTCAGCCTGAAAAACAGAAGAACTAAACTCACTGGGCTCATTTCACTGCAACAGCAATCAATCAATTAGGCATGGACCTGCATCAAGCCTTCATATCGCACAGGGAGCTTCATTCATGCAGCAACCCTCCTCCTCCCCATCACCATCTCGTCGGCCGGACTAGCTCTTTCACCCTTCTCCTTGCTTTTAGTACAGAGTTATTGTTCATTTCTCTTGTGAATTATCGTCCACTATGGCCGATCACACGAGTGGTTTTGGATGCAGCCATTTTCCCAGTACCCACACTTTTGACCGCATCCAAAACCACGTGGCCTTCTTCCTACACGGTTACAATGTTAGCAAACCCCAGATCTGTGTTCTGGCAGCAGCCGTGACCTCCGGATGCACCGCCGGCTGCACTTCTCCTCAGCTCATGATTCATCCACCTCCTGTTTGTTCCACAGAAACCACAGAGGGATGCTGGGAGTGTCACTGCGCATTTCTGAGTCCGCTCTGGTCCAAGTTGTACTCAGCGGGAAATCCTCATAAAACCTGAAGTGCTCTGGCCTAAACTCGATTACTTTTATATGTAGTTAGACTAATTTAAACTAGCTCTACTCGGATGTATTCATTTTTTGTCACTAAAACAGTCTTCTTCACTAAATACCTCAAAACTCCATCGATTTCTGTTTATGTTTGTGTTGTTGGACCCCACACATGAGCTTTGGGTCGGAACTAGATCATACACGGAATCGAGACAGAAGCTGAATTAAAAATCCTACTTTCAAATTAGTTTTAGGCTAATAAGTCCTTAAGTGGTGACTGGTTAAGTTTTAGTTGTCTGAGTAAGATGGTTAAGGTTAGGGTTAAGGTGGTCTGAGTAAGATGGTTAAGGTTAGGGTTAAGGTGGGTCTGAGTAAGATGGTTAAGGTTAGGGTTAAGGTGGTCTGAGTAAGATGGTTAAGGTTAGGGTTAAGGTGGGTCTGAGTAAGATGGTTAAGGTTAGGGTTAAGGTGGGTCTGAGTAAGATGGTTAAGGTTAGGGTTAAGGTGGTCTGAGTAAGATGGTTAAGGTTAGGGTTAAGGTGGTCTGAGTAAGATGGTTAAGGTTAGGGTTAAGGTGGTCTGAGTAAGATGGTTAAGGTTAGGGTTAAGGGTCGGTTGGGGTTATTCTATGGGAATGGCTGGTGAAGGTTAGGCATAGGTAATTGGTTAAGAATAAAAAACCTTGTTCAGGCAAACACAGAGACTGTAAATATAACCTGGCGTTGAGGCGCTTATTTCCTTCGTTTAAACGTATGTATGACCGACATGGACCTTTTTAAAATGGCCGCGAGTAGCTTCTCCTGCAGGAAAAGGGTGAAAAAACTCTTTTGCGGATGCGTTAGCTGCACATGTCTGACACACGGCAAAACGTGTGCATTCAAAAGTCCACAGCGACTAAACTAGACTGGTCCAAAACAAAATACTCCCCTCAGCATTGACAGCATCTGGATAGTATCGTTGAAGTGGATAATTCTGTTTCCGGGTACACCCCCACAGACAAGGAGTCCGATTGCAAACTTGTAAGTGCACGTGCTCATGGACCTTTTTCAGCCGGGACACGCCCCCATTGGGCAAACATCAACCACTCCAAAACAACTTTTACTGAATAAATGAGAGAAGAAAACTGGTATTAGTAAGAAAGTAAGTCATGTTTTTTATGTAGCGCCTTTAGGGTTAGGGTTAGCACCTGGAGGAAACCTACGTAGACACAGGGATAACATACAAACTCCACTCAGAAAGGCCCTGTTCCGACCGGGATTCGAACCAAGGACCTTCTTCTAATATCGTGGTGATAATCGAGATTCACCGTGGATCATGGACATTGGTCTCTGTGTGTTTGATTCTCGATCTGTTGTTGGCAAATCGACAGCTTTGTAAAGTCCTCCGAGAAAACTACAGCTGTGGTTTAGGACGACCCAAAAACCATTGATTTGATTTGAATAATGTCGAAAGAAAACAAGAAAGTGAAATATTGCTCATGTCTCGTTAAACTTTAATAACAAACAGATTGAGCAGGAACCGGTCCAGTTCTCACAAAGTCTCCTGGAGCCGGGTTTGGTCTACAGCGGTGGTTTGGCTCCGTGTGGCTGCGAGTGCGACGCCAGTTTTGAGTTTTATGCAACGACCAAGGAATCAAAGCGAAACAGAAACAGAACGAGAAAAAGTCAGGATCAGAAAGATATTTGGAGAGTAAAGCGTGGATTATAAACTTAACCCTAGTTTCAGACAAAAATAATTCATCGTATGTCTTCTTTAAGTTATAAATTACAGCTTATTGTCCAAAAAGATGCCATTTTTCATATTAAATCATGGTATTACGATGAAATGATATAGTTCCAAGTATTTGTAGATTTCAGAATGGGGGAAGACCCGGGACGCAGAGAGATTGTGTGTCTCTCTCTGGCCTGGGAACGCCTCAGGATTCCCCCAGATGAGCTGGAGGAGGTGTGTGTGGAGAGGGACCCGGCAACGGATAAAGCGGAAGCAAATGGATGGATGGACAGCACTAGTCTGTCTGGTCTCAAACAATGCGACATCACATCTGCTCCGAAGGTCCAGGACTCAGCCATTTCAATTCCATTTTGTTTTTTGCAAAGAGTTTTGTTTAGAATCACAGCAGTGGATCTCTTGGTGGATGTCACAAAGTTGTGGATTCGCCAGCACAGATCAGAGAATCAAACACACAGAGCCATTGGTTCATTTTCTTCCCCTTAATCCATTTCTGGGTCGGGGGGGTGGCCAGAGATGCCACCCAGTCACAGAGCACCAGCCCCTCACTGATCCTCCTGCAGGTGCTGAGTCCACAGGAGCTGAGATCTTTCAGTGGGAGCTTCAGGCAAAGTGGGGTTAAGTGTCTTGCCCAAGGACACAACGACAGCAGTCATCAGTGGGAGTCGGTCTTACGGTGGGCTCGAACCCACGACCTTCAGGCTCAAAGGCCAATGCTCTAACAACTGAGCATACGGGGCCATAAATGTGAAATGTCCTGGACCACCACTGTCCTTAGACCAGTGTGCATCAGCAAAGAACAACTCAGAAAGGCACAGGTCTCTGCAGCCTCTCTCTCTGGTCTCTCTCTGGTCTCTCACTCTGGTCTCTCTCTCTCTGGTCTCTCTCTGGTCTCTCTCTGGTCTCTCTCTCTCTGGTCTCTCTCTCTCTGGTCTCCCTCTCTCTGGTCTCTCTCTGGCCTCTCTCTGGTCTCTCTCTCTGGCCTCTCTCTCTGGCCTCTCTCTCTTTGGTCTCTCTCTCTGGTCTCTCTCTCTCTGGTCTCTCTCTCTCTGGTCTCTCTCTCTCTGGTCTCTCTCTGGTCTCTCTCTCTGGTCTCTCTCTCTCTGGTCTCTCTCTCTGGTCTCTCTCTCTCTGGTCTCTCTCTCTCTGGTCTCTCTCTCTCTGGTCTCTCTCTCTCTGGTCTCTCTCTGGCCTCTCTCTCTCTGGTCTCTCTCTGGCTTCTCTCGCTCTGGTCTCTCTCGCTCTGGTCTCTCTCTCTCTGGCCTCTCTCTCTGGTCTCTCTCTCTGGTCTCTCTCTGGCTTCTCTCGCTCTGGTCTCTCTCTCTCTGGTCTTTCTCTGGTCTCTCTCTGGTCTCTCTCTCTCTGGTCTCTCTCTCTGGTCTCTCTCTGGTCTCTCTCTCTGGTCTCTCTCTGGCCTCTCTCTCTCTGGTCTCTCTCTCTCTGGTCTCTCTCTCTGGTCTCTCTCTCTCTCTGTCTCTCTCTCTGGTCTCTCTCTCTCTGGCCTCTCTCTCTCTGGCCTCCTCTCTCTCTGGTCCTCTCTCTCTGGTCTCTCTGGCCTCTCTCCTCGAGCCGTCTCCCCTCTCTCCTCTCCGCCTGGTCTCTCTCTTCTGGTCTCTCTCTCTGGTCCGTCTCTCTCCGTCTGGTCAAACCTCTCTCTCTCTGGTCTCTCTCCCGCAATCTCGATCTGGTCTCTCTCTCTCTCTCTCTCTCTCTCTCTCTCTCCTAATCTCTCTCGTGGTCTCTCTCTCTCTGGCCAAATCCCCAAAATCGGTCTCTCTCTCTGCCATCCAGCTCAAGACTCTCTATCACTGGTCTCTCTCTCTCTGGTCTCTCTCTCTCATCGCCATCTCCTCAAGTCTCTCTCTCTGGTACTCATCTCTCTCATCTTCCCATAGCTCCAAACTCCTCCGTCATGACTCCCTCAGGACTCTTCATCCCTCACCTCATCTCGCCGAGATACGAGCTCAGCCTGCCTCCGATCCTCCTCCCTCTCACTCAGTCTCTCCCCTCTCAATCCCCCTACTCTCCAAGCCATCCTCTTCCAACTCACTCAAGTCCCGCATCACCTCGTATCCCTCTGCTACCCATCAAACCCTTAGCCAGTCTCTCACTTCAAAAACTGACAAAGCAAACGGCTCTCTGACCCACCTTATCCCCCTCTTGCATCAACATACTTCGTCTCTCCCCCCATCCACTCCCCATCTCCGTCCCTCTTCCATCTCAGGGTTCCTCCGGGACGCCCCTCCTCTCCCTCTCCCCTCCCTCCCATACTCAGGGAACCAGTCGTAACGCTCCACGCATCAATACCTATCACACCCACACACTCTCCTCACATCGCCCCGGTTTCCAACCTCCCTCTCTCTCTCCTCACGAGCCATCAGCCAATCCATCCGTCCATCCCGCATTCACGTCACTCTCCCGCGTACAACGCCCACTCTCCCGGTACCTCATCGCTCAAACTCCACTGGCTTCCAACGACCCTTCCGAGTCACACCCGTCTCGCTCACACTCCACCCTATCTCGTTCTCACACTAACCGCCCCTCATCTCAGCTCACCACAGTCTCTCCACTAACTCTCTCTCCTCATCCCCCTCACACTCTATCATACCATCGAAACTGCCTTCTACTCTCTCCCTTTCCGTTCCCTCCTCCATCGACCCCGCATTAGCTTCTCTCCCGCGTAAAACCCTCAGGAGCCGACACATCTCATCCAAAAATCACGACCCGTATCCCCAGACATCCAACCGACGCCTCTCCCCCTCGACTCTCGCCGATATGCAAATCCTCTACTCTCTCCGGCCTCTCTCCTTCCATCCCCTGATCCCTCTCGCCCACTCCCCTCTACTATTCCATCCACTCACATGCTTCCGCTATATACGCCTCCATCGCTCCCCCACTCTCCCTCACCTCCCTCGTCGACGTCCCACGTCTTCCTCAAAGCCTTCCCTCCCATAAACCCCCTCGACCTTCGCACCACTCGCAACACTCACGCGTATCTCGTCTCCCCTAACTCGCTTCCTCTACTACTTTCACTCCCTCGACGACGCACTCTTCGCCTCTCACTCCCCCCAGAAGAGTCTCTCGTCGCCTACTTCTCTTCTCCTCGTCCACAACGTCACGCGGTTCACCATCATCTACCCAACCAGTCCGCTCAAAAAAACTCCCCAATGAGCATCAGCGACATCTCTCTCGCTCAAGCGACACAATCCTCTACCCAAACTCTCCCTGGGAGCTCTCGTCAAACTCTCGCCTGTCTCGCTGCGTCTCTCAGAGTCTCACCTACAGGCTCGCTTCGCATACCCTCATTCCTCCAGCTTCTACCTGATCCCAGCGATGACTCTCCTGGCCTCGCTGTCCTCTCGTACCCCCTGCATACTAAATCTGGGCACTCCTGGGTAATGCCTCTCTCACAAACTAGCATTCCAGACCATCACATATCGTCCACTCAACCAACCCTCCGGACTTACTAATCGTCCACCCGACCTGTGTCTTCGTGTCCGTAAATCAGTCTCTCCATGACGGGCGGCCTATCGCTGGGTCCTCATCTACCTCTCCATCCGTCCACGTGAGTAATGCTCCAACATCTCCACAATCTCCAGATCTCCCGTTTCCACGGTCTTGAGAGAATCTCCGGGTCTCGTCGCTTCATCACAATCACACTAATTCCCGTGACTCTTCATCGCAACCTCTCGCTTCACACAACTATCCTCGCAAATGCCTACAAACTCTAATCCTTCCTCTCATACGCATCTCGAAAGTTATACTCTTACTCCAGGTCGTCTCTGATTGCACTCTCATATTCCCATCTTAAAATTCTCCCTCCGACTCTCAGTCGGTTCCCTCTCATCCCGTCTTCCCGAGGCGATCTCTCACACTCATTGGGGCTCTCTCTTGCGCCTCAAAACTGAAAGGAGCTCACCATCATCGAGCCGCTCCAGGCGCTCTGACATACGACGCCAAAAGGCACCCCCCCCACTCAACACCAGATTACCCAACCGCGCTCCCTCTAGTCACAGCGCTCTCTCGTCTACGACTGCCCATTGCGTCACCCTTCTGGTCATCGGAAACCGTCTTGCCTCCACTACTCCTCTCATCTGCCGGGCCGCTCCGAATCTCCGCTCTCTGAGACTCTCTCATGGTACTCCTCGCTCCCCCCTCGAAAAATAGATCCCGTCCCACGGTGCGACTCCCCAGTACTAGCTAAGTTAAGACACGCTAACAACGACCTGATAAGGGACAGAATTAGTTGCCGAAAGGGCCGTACCAACCAAAAGTAAACGTCTCACTGCTAATCGCCTACCACGAATATAACGTACATGCATCGCCTCACCACCCGACAAGACACCGATCCCTGAGCCCCACAGACCCCATACACCCTGCTCTTCGCCACGAAGAATCCCGCTCACACAGCCCTTTCCGGACATATCCATCTGGTCACCTCACAACCAACATCCTCTTCTCTCCTCATTTCAATCACTCTCCTCTTCTCTTATTCCCCGTTTCTCTCTTACATTCTCCTCTCTCCCCTGCCCCAAGTATTTTTTTCATTTCCTTCTCTCTCATAAACTTTTATGGGGGCTTGGGGGGAGCTCTTGTTTGTGGGCGGGTGTCGGGGGGAGGGGGTTATTGGTTGGGGGTGGTGAAGGGGTCTTTCCTTATGGGGGGGGGGGAGTGTTTGATTTTTTTATTGGTCGTGGGTTTTTTAGTGGGGGGGGGATGGGTGGTGGGGGGGGGGGTGGGGTGTTTTGGGGTCCGGGGTACGTGGTCTAGCACTCCTCAAAGCTCAACTCTCTCTCCTCTCCTGCCTCTCTCCCGAATCCCCCCTGGTCTCGTCATCTCTCAGGGCAAACGTTCCATTTCCCGTCAAACGTCCCCTCCTCTTCCTCACCGCGCTCTTCCCCCTTCTCCCCCCACTCTCTCCCCTCCTCCTTCTCTCCCTCTCAACCAGCTCCACGCTCCCTCTCGCTCTCCTAAAGCACTTGTCGCCTGCTCTAGCAAATCTCCGGCTCACGCCACGTCCCCCCTCCCGCCTCACCAACCTCAAATCATCGGAACGATATCGACCATCCCGCCCACCCTCCTCCGGCTCCAACTCTATCCTTCGCGATCCACCTCCTCCCTCCATCGGTCCGCCCTCTCACTCCCATCATCCAACCCCCTCCCCCCACCCTCTTCCCTCCTACTTCCCCTCCCCCCCCCCTCCCCCTCTCTTCTCCCTCCGCCGCGGGCCACCACCGAACCCCGCCCTCTCATCCCCATCCCTCCCACACTCCACGTCTACTCTCCCCCCCTCGACGCCACCCTTCGCTCTCTCTCGGTCCACCTCACACCCCCGCGTCCACCCTCTCCCTCCACCCTCTCTCATCCCCCCCTCTTC